CCGTGGTACATACATAATTTTATGTCTTACTAACCTATCATAGCACATTTTATATCTGTGATACGCGGGCATAAAGTACCACTTTATGCCCTAGGGCATTAAGTATCACCATAGTAACTCATTTATACTTAATGACAAAACAAACAAATATTTGCAGGCCATTGAAAATTAGAAACGTCAATTATTAATTGTCAGTACCTACTAAATCACAAGATTGGCCTTATTTCGTATAATTTCTGGAACTTCTTGCTCATTCACGATGAATTGAATTATTTAAAATTACGTTTGACGTTTGGATGGTTTCAATCACATTAACAAATTCGAACCACGCATACTTGATCAAACATAATGAATTATTTTGTAAACGAATTTTGACGAAGAAAACTATTTGTAAAACATAAAATTGTGTATGTACCACGGGCATAAACTGATGTTTATACTCTCGAGCGACTAAAAAGCTCTCGGGGGCCATTATAGGCGGCGTTGCTTCTCCATCTGTAAAAGCTGCCTTTCGACGGACATCACCACAAAATGCCGTGGTAAGTTTTGGGTTCAGTTACGAACAAAAAAATAATCCGGGATTATTTTTGATCCGGATGTTAGGGTAAAGCACTAATGAATTTCCGCACTACCCTTCTCCTGGCATTACAAGGTATGTAATATACATAAAGTGTTTTTTTGATGTAAAAACCTAATACCTAACGTTATGTTGAATTCTATAAAAGTAATTGATGGCAAAATATTGTTTCAGAGCCCTAATCTTGAGTTTAGAGAGAAAAGTTGTTCATTTTGAAGCTCGAAATATAATTCAACAAAAAGAACCTTGTCATTCGGTGTTGCATTTCTATTAGTTAACAGTTTTTCTCGTCTAATTGCTATAGGCAACAGATTTTCATTACCCAACCAACCCAAATTTACTCGGTAAAATACAAACCTATTGTGCAATTATAAGTGAAAATTTTAGTTTAGCGTAATTTTAATTGAAGTAGCACAGATCAAAGTAGAGACATCATTGATGAACCATTTGTTTTTAGCTTTCACTTACAATCCACTTAACAATAAACGCGTCTAGAAGAGATTTTCTCATTCAGCAATTATAAAGAGTAGAGTAGTATTCCATAACAGTCAAATTGCATTTTATACAAGCAGAGCCAATTTTCCGTAGCTAATGGTCTTTACGAACTTACCAGTGAAATTTGATCCTGATTATATGAGGTGTCCAGTTCGAAGATATAATTATTGTTTACTATGTAGAAGTTTAGAGCTCTAAGGCAAATACACCAAAGCGGGTGGACAAGCTCATTGGTCCTAACCGCCAACTGTGGTATTGATCCAAAACCCGCAAAACGAAAGAACACAAATAGGTATAATTGTTGTTACAAAAAGTGAAGAATAATACTTCCCCAAATTGGGAAACAAACAAAAATCCCAAAAAGAAAATCCCGTTTGATTAACTGTTATTGTCCTAGCAAATGCGCCAGGATGGAGAATCGGCCCCGGCGAAAAGCCACAGAAGTTGAAGCATGTTTCCACCAAAGCTTGTAAGTTCGTATGATTTGACAAAAATTGAATAAATATTGAGCCTAAAGAAGTTTCAATTCAAAAATAAGCACGTGCAGACAAAATCAAAGAGAAAACATTGTAAATTTTGTTAAAACTGATTTTCATTTGTAAAAAGGAACAGAATATATTCGAATAGTTTTAATACAGCCACAGATACATAATTATATACAAAATGTAAGTCTAAATCGTTACAGTCTACCGTATGAATTTGCAGAATATGTCGGCTAAGATAAGGACAAGACACCTGGTAATCGTCTGGGTTTCAGGAAGCCCGACGAATTTTAACCTTGATTGTCTTTAGGGCCTACGGGTTACAAATTTACTACCTAACGGCCCAAAAGGTTTAAGATGAAATTTAGCGCATTGTCTTTTTCAAGTGCACTAATTTATATCACGAATTATTAATATTCGAATATTAACCAGACATATTGTGTTGTTAGATCATTTATTATAAACTGCTGGATATTTATCAATTATTGCAGGTTCACCTTTCTGCCCTGGAGGCCCAACTTTTCCTTCTTTTCCATCAATTCCTGGTCTACCTGCCGGTGGAAATGTTATCGAAACAGTAAAAAAACATTATTTAAGTACCTGGAAAGCCAGGTATGCCTTCTTTTCCTGGAGATCCTGGTACACCGTGGTCTCCTTTAGATCCCGCCAGACCATCTACTCCTTAGAGTAAAACTATATTAGTACTTTTGCAATTTGTTCATTTCAATTTAAAAATCTGGCAAAGATCCCTTACCATTTGTACCTGCGTCGCCACGTTCACCTTTTTGACCCGGAGGGCCAATTGTTCCTGATTCTCCACGTATGCCAGGCGGTCCTACGGTAACATTATAGTATTGATTTCTCATAATCTAATGCTTTACCCGGTGGGCCCATATCTCCTTTTTCACCCCCTGCACCTTTGTCTCCGACACTTCCCTTGTCACCTTCGGAACCCAAATCACCTACACATAGGTGATTATGTAAATGTTTTAAACAAACTGATAATACCTATATCACCGCGTTCTCCCTTGGGACCGTCACTTCCAGTAGGACCTGCGGTAAGATGCTTATGACAAACTTATTCGGTATTTATGTGTCACGTTACCTCGGGGTCCTGTTGGACCCATTCCGCCTCGTGCTCCTGGAATACCTGGCGGGCCTGGGGGGCCTCTAGCTGTTGCGCGTGGATGTCTACCAACAGGGTGCTACTAAAACTAAGGAATACATCTGAATTGAAAAAAAAACATAATTACCTTTTGGATGCAAGCTGCCCCATAACAAATATCCTTTAAATATCCTTCCTCCAGGAGTAATTCTTTAATCTCCTTCTGGGAAACGCTGTTACTCGCTTCCTTTAGAAAGTCTTCTTGAAAATCGTTTTTTATCAGTTTGTACACGTAAAGTCCGACAATTGCTTCTACCAAACAAATAAATATCACCACAAATAGAATCACAACTACTTTGCCGAGCATGGCCGAAATGTTTGTTTTATCGGATGCCATTATAAGGCGTAAGTAAAGATGGAATTCCCTTCACGTATTTATAAATTGTTTTTATCTTACCACAAGCGTCATGAGGTCATGACATTTCAATAAATGCGCTTAAATTTGAATACGATAACGTTGGGTTTTCCACCACCACCCACTTGATTCTTATACTTGATACTTGACATTATATTTGTTTGCGAATTTAAAGAATTAGTAATAATAAAATTAATTGGAATCGCAAGGCGAACAATTTCTGGAACACAAGATGGCATAAGAATCCACGGGTGCTTTACCGTCATGAAGCAAGATTTTCTTCTTCCATAATTCGGACCGTTTCATAAGCATTTTTGCCTGAAAATGGCCAAAAAGTACTGAAAAGTACTTTCCGTTGATTTTTTGACCTTTTTCGAGGTAGTCGACGAATAGAACAATTGAAAAAAACATAACAATAAATAATAACAAAGGCTAAAAAGCGGATACAAATTTGTTCTCTATGACTTCTGCTCTGGATAAAGGGTACTATTTTCGGTTCTGAATAGTGAGAATTTATTGTTAGGTACATTTACAAAGGCAAGGTTTTTTTGCGCAATATGGCTCTTTGAATCCCAGAAAATGCCCTCACCTTTATCACACCATCTGGGGCCACTAAATATAGCTCTCTGATCATCGGACATTATGAAACAGGAGATCTATGAAACGACCTTTGCATTTACCTAAGTGTTTGTTGATGGAAAAATCAAATAACCAGCCCTAATGATTTCGAATGTTAATGTGTCGCTATGAAAGTGATAGAAAGTAAATATAACTCTCGCCAGGAAAGATTGCCGGTCAGAGCACACCTTGTGTCGATTTACAATCTATGTTTTTCTTAAGATGCGAGCGACTTCGGGAATACTATCGTGCCAATGTTGAACGAAAAGTCTTTTTGTTTAACATTGACACGATACTATCCCGGAAGTCGCTCACATCTTTAGAAAAACATAAATTGTAGACCGGGATCAAGTGTTCTATGACCGGAAATCTTTCCTGGCGAGAGGTTTAGGTAGGTACCTAACATATATCGAAAACTGTCATGTGGTCTTTTGTTTGCCACGCTAAATTACATCTTTTGTTATCATTAATCACAACTTTTTAGCATTCAATTTGTGCAAGACTTCTTTATTTATTTAACTACAGATCTCATCAGGTTATGGGCCCAGTAAACTTAATTACTATCGTCTGGGTTTCTGGATTCTGGATTACGATAGGAGGGTGAACAGTGTCCACGCGTACTTAGGCCTCAAATTCGGGCCCTTTGTACTACCTCCCTGACTAGGGTCGCCCGACCCCTCAACATCACTCAAGCCATCCCACACGTGAGATGAACCTTAGGACGCTGGAAGGGGAGGCGGCTCTAATCGTAGCCATGTCCGGCCAGGATTCCCCCAACATGGATCGTCTCAGTTGGACTAGAGCGGGACATTCACAGAGTATGTGGTATGCCGTCTCGTCGTCTGTGTAACATCCTCTACAAGATGGTGATTCCACCAAACCCATGCAGTGCATGTGCTTGTTTAGTTTACAGTGCCCAGAAAGTATGCCCACGAGTAACCTCAGGTTCTTCCTTGATAGCCCTGTACAAAAACGCGCCAAGCTACGAGATGGTCCTCTGAAGGCTTCTCTCGCATGGCGACAATCTAACATCAAGTTCCACCTAGCCCTGTGCTGGGTTTGGGTGTCTTGAGTTATTAGGTTGTTTACAGTTTTAACTGTAAGTGGAAGAGCCGGCTCTGGACCATAAAACGCCTGTTTTGAGGCCAGTCGGGCTAATTTATCGGCTTTCTCATTACCTTCCGTTCCAGCATGCCCTTTGACCCATACGAGCTCAAGGGTGTTGCTGCTTGCTACTTGCTCTAGTACGTGGTGACATTCGGAAACCATCCTAGAGGTAATTTTACAGTGACCAAGTGACTGCAAGGCAGCCCTGCTGTCACTTGAGATTCTGATAGTTTTGTTCTTTATGTTATGCATAAGAACTGTTCTTGCACTAAGCGTTAATCCTACCAACTCTGACTGGAATACAGTAGGAAGTTTACCTAGTGGTTGGGTGATATGGAAGTTCAGTTCTTTGGAGTAAATACCAGTGCCTGTACCTTCCATTGTCTTAGATCCATCCGTGAAGATGAATATATCTGGTTGGGATGCCATATTCTCATCAAAGGAGATGTGATAGTTTTTCCCTAATATGAATTGAGGAGTGAGTGAGTCCGATCTCCCCTCTAGGATAGGCACTCGCTTGATCGCCTCGCCCAGAATTCGGGAGTGGCCCCCCTCAATGCCTCTGCTATTCAACAACCCCTTATTTTTCAGACGCAGGAATGCCAGAATGGCCTGCTCTCTCACGTGGAGATCTAGTGGAGGCAGATCCAAGAGGGCCTCCATGACGGATGTGGGGGTCGTTCGCATCGCGCCTGTGCAGGCAAGGCACGCTAGTCTTTGCACATGATTAAGGAGTGCTACAGTTGTGGAGAGTCTGGTTCTAGGCCACCAGACAATTGTTCCATAACAGAACATAGGTCTAATCACGGCAGTGTACAGCCACAGGACAGCCTTCGGGGATGGTCCTCAAAGTTTGCCAATAGCGCGGCGACTTTGCCAGAAAGCCCTATTTGCTTTTTCGGCTTTAAGCTGGATATGTTTGCTCCAATGCAGTTTTTTGTCGAGTGTGATTCCTAGATATTTCACTGACTCTGAAAATTGGAGGTGTTTTTGGAATAGCAGGGGAGCTCGAATACCCTCTACCTTTCTTTTTCTTGTGAAGAGAACTAGCTCCGTTTTTGTCGGGTTGATGGACAAGGAGTGTTCCCTACACCATTCTTCGGTTACTGTAAGAGCTGATTGCATCAGTCTGCATAAAGTAGCCTCAAATTTGCCGGTTATAAGTATGGATATATCATCCGCATACCCCAGCGTATAGTAGCCACTGTCATTAAGGCGACAGAGGAGCCTGTTTACAGTCAAGTTCCACAGAAGTGGTGATAACACCCTTCGTCTGGGTTATTTATCAAAGAAATTTCGCAAGTTTTGATAGATAAAATAGAGGGACGTTTCAATTGGGTTGATTAGAAAGTCCAAGTCAAAATTCAGTTGAATGTAAATGGCTGTATGGCCATAGCGGAAGGTTAGTGAATCGTATGGTAAGGGGAAGGAATCGTCTTTTCAATGAGTTCTTTGGTATAAGAAAAAAAGGATCCTGCGAATTCGATTGATTTTCAGCTATGGACAGAAATCCAAGACGAGACCTGGAAGGAAAATCAAATTTTGGATAATCAGGAGAGACGTCATGTGTTGTTAAGAAGTTTCTCAAATAGTTTTACTCAGGATGCTCTCTAATTGGTCAGTAAAAATAAGCCCAACAAAACCAAGCAGGAGAATGGTCACGGTAAGGGCAGTGGGAGTGGTAACGAGTCAAAAAAGTTTGTCCCAAAATGTTACAAATGTGGCGAATTAGGCCATTATAAGGGGGACTCTAAGAATTCCAAGAAGTCCAACTCTGAAAAGAGTCAGGGAGGGTCTGCATTTGTTAGCCAATATCTTCAAATCTGTGGATTCCCCCAAAGGTTGGGTGCAGATTCCGGTGCAACGCAACATATGACCATGAATCGTAATTGGTTTTCTACTTTTGAGGTGTGTTTCTCAGAAAACTACGTTCCAGTCGGAAATGGCCAATCAATGAAGGCGCTTGGCAACGGCATTGAAATGATTGTCAATGGTAAGGCTAAAAAGTGGATAAAAATTTGTTCTCGATGACTTCTGCTCTAGATAAAGGGTACTATTCGGTTCTGAATAGTGAAAATTTATTGTTAGGTACATTTACGAAGACAAGGTTTTGTTTGCTCAATAGTGGTAACATCGGCGTCGACTGAAAGTTACATTATTGCTGAACATGACTTACAGATTACCTCAAACGTCATGTTCCGACCTTCCTGAAGAAAAACTGGATCGACGTCAATGGTAACTTGAAATCAGAATGGTGTGATGCATTCAGTAATGGAAAAATTGGCAGCTTGAGCATCCGAAAACGGAAGGAGGTCATAACTAGCCCGGGAGACCGGATCAACGCTGATATGTGTGGGTCTATGCCAGAAAAATCCTCAAAAGGAAGCTTCTTTGTCGTGTTCAAGGACGAGTATCGTTTAGTTTTCATACTAAAGGAAATATCAGAATAATAATAATAATCGTTTATTGATCAACAGAAGAAAAACTTCCAATAACAGATCAAATCCTTGAGAATTAAAATGAACATTAGAAAAAAAATGTAAAATTATAGCTATGTTAAACTAGAACAGCCTAAACAAAAATAAAAATGCGAATTAAAAAATGTCTAAGATATCTTTCATATGAGAGTTATGTATGTCACATTTGTCACAAATACTATTAAATACGCTACACATGTTGTATTGTAAATAGGAGAATTGATAAGAATATTAGAGTTAGGTGTAGTATGATAAAAAGTAGAGGACGATCGAGATGAAAAATATGGAACATGAAACTGCTGTTCTTGAAGAAGACACGCACAGTCAATTAGTTGATGGATGATCTTGAATAGGAATGTCACGCTGGTTCTGGTTCTTCTTTTATCAAGGTCTTCCATATTGAATCTTGCCAACAACGCATTTTGACAGCAACCTCTTTCGGGGTATACTCCATTAACTTTGAAGCTGAGGTATTTAAGAAATTTTCTCTGAATGCGTTCCATTCTATCCCTTTGATATTGATAGGACGGCGACCAAACCAAATTGCAGTATTCTAATTTAGATCGCACTAAAGAAAAGAATAACGCCTTAAGAGCCCCAACATTTGTGAATGATTTAGTGCTTCTGAATATAAACCCCAACATCTTCATCGCCGCACTACAAATCTGGTTGATATGGTCAGAAAAAGTCAATTTCATATCAAACTGCACTCGAAGATCTTTAATGGATGTAACACGAGGCAAAAGGACGGAATTAATTGCGTAGTTGTATATTACAGGAGAAAGCTTACGCGTGTAGGTCACAATTCTGCATTTAGAAGGGTTAATTTCCAAGTAATTAAAAGCGCACCATTCAATCAAATTAGAAGTCAGATTAGAAGTCAAGGACAAGTTAAAACAGTTTCTTCTTGCAGAAGTGAAGAGCTTTTGACTGATAATGGTACTGAACTTGTGAAAAAGTACGTTTAAAAGAGCATGGCTTGCGCCATCGATCATCTATGCCATTTATACGGAGCAAGAGAATCGGGCGTTGGTAGAAACTGCCAGGAAAATGTTGCAAGCTTCTGGATTCACACAGAAATTTTTGGCTGAGGCTGAGATGACAGCTGTGTGAGTGATTAACGGAACAGGACCGTCTCCAGAACTAGCTATTTTGCCGTACAATCTTTGGTAAAAGAAGCAGCCTGCGATTAGCCAACAGTACAAGCAGCGGAACTTCTACCAGCAGTAGGATCAACTTCAGAATTCAAGACACTGAGGAATGAAGACCCATTCGCATAAAATGGAGGAAAACAACAGTGGCAACTCCGAGACAGATCCAAACTGAAGATGCCGAGGAAGTTGCACCGAAAGGGGCATCGAAAAAGTCATTAAACGGTCAAAAATGGGTGATTAGCTCTCTCAACAAATTAATTCATTGCAATAAATTAAATGTCTTGTTACTCCTGGTTGACATCTACCAAATGAGTTTTTTACTCGAACGTTTCACCATATTTCTTAAATACACAGATGCGGCTGGAAATTATGAGCAAGCTATCCTTCAAAGAAACAAAACCTTCTGCATGTAGGTAGGTATATTTCAAAAACGTATCGACGTTAAAAATATATATTCTCATCAATAGACAGAGTTAATACAATTGTGGCAATTGTACAGGAATCATTGAATTTTACATCTAAACCTATACCCATCCAAAAGGTCATTGCTGCTTTTCTCATTTAGAATTCATGGATTGCCCATCGCTGCCGTATAATCTAGTGTCCTCAGCTCTTAGATCTCCCACATCACCCTTCTGTCCTTTTTGTACAGGTACACCAGGAACCACAATATCTCTCTTTTTTTGGGATTTCCCTGCAAAATACTACTGGTTTCAAAAGGTCTTTAACGTATTATGTTCTTCGTGCCAAATGTTGATACTATTATTTGAGAGGTCGTAGAAACGTCTGATTACATCTTTTACTTAAGGCTATGGTTTACTAAATTAAAGGAGCGGAGGCCTTGTGGGAATGCGTGATAAGGGATGATAGCCTTCCCGACTGATACATTTGGATTAGAACAAAAGTAAGAGCTTCTTACCATCCAAACAATAATTGGTGCCTTGTTCGCCTTTTTCCCCTCGAGGTCCAACCTTTCCTTCCTGTCCATCAATTCCGGGTATCCCTACAAGCGGCAATGCTATAAGGATTATTAAAGTAAATATTTAAATACCTGGAGATCCAGGTCTGCCTTCTTTTCCCGGAGCACCTGGAGCACCTGGCTCTCCTTTTACACCCTCTCTTCCTAATAATGATAGTGTTTCATTAATACTTTCGCCAAATTCTTGTTTCAAAGTTCGACGAGGATTACTTACCATGTTTACCCGCATCGCCAGGTTCACCTTTTTGACCAGGAGCACCCATTTTTCCTGATTCTCCACGTATACCAGGCGCTCCTATAATAAAATTTTAAGCTTTGCTTTTTATAGCTTACATTCTCACCTGGTGGGCCAACAGCTCCTTTTTCACCCACTGCACCTTTTTCTCCGACACTTCCCTTTTCACCCGCCATCCCCTGCAAACCTAAACATAATTAGGCAGCTACTTTAAAGTACTGTTAAATAATCTTTGTCTACCTTCATACCCGGGCTCACCCTTGACACCGGCATTTCCTGGAACACCTTTGGGTCCTGGAACAATAAGACATTTATAATAATTAACTCGTTGTTTTAGTGCTACATGCTAAACAAAGAGCTGATCCAAGGCTTCATGTCTAGATATATCATTACCCGAGGCTCCTTTTGGTCCAGTTGAACCAGGAAAGCCTGGAGGACCTGGTGGTCCCGGTGAACAAGGCTTAGATTGCGGAACGTTGCTGTTAAACAGACCACCTAAATTCGGATTGAATACAGGACCTAATATAGGAATATTAAAACCCGTGCCTCTTTTGGAAATGGCGTGTCCACCAGAAGAGTGCCACTAAAAAGTGAAGGTATGGAGTACAAACTGAACGAAAGAAAATGTATATACCTTACGGCTGAAAACTATTTTGTTGCAAACATCCTTTAAATATTCTTCCTGGTCAAGTAATTCTTTAAACTTCGTCTTGCAAACGCCATTACGTACTTCCTTTCGGAACTCCTCTCGCAAATCTATCTTTGCAAGTTTGTACACGTAAAAGCCGAAAATTACTTCTAATAAACAAATAAATAGCACAGCAAACAGAAACAAAACCGCTTTATTTAATATCGTCGAAGTGTTCGTTTTAACAGACGCCATTGCAAGTTACAATTAAGAATTGGAATTCCCTCCGTTTATTTATAAATCATCTTTATCTTGTCGAATACGTCACGATGTTATGACATTTAATTATTTGCAACAATTTATCCGCAACTTAGAACGCGGGAAAACCGTACGTTGAAATTACTAGTTATTTACCTAAAAATCAAGAAAATTACCACTAAATACTGGTGAGAAAATATTGAACTGCCGAGTCAAGTAGTGCCATTTTAGCGAGTAGGCCCCGAAGTGATCTTTTTAAAAATAAAATTTGTAATCATATAAAATATTGATACTAATGGGGCAGTTATCACAAGAGTCTGGTAAGGTAACAGAAGTCAGGAAATAGTCAGCGTTACTGCCACTGTCATGGAAGCTAAAATTACCTGAATAATTAAATTGATAAAATTGCGGAAAAGAAATATTATATTGGTTTTCATCTCATAGTGACATCTTTTCCAATTTTGTTAGGGAGTTAGGTCACCCGAATACAGGGGTTGTTCAAAAATCTTTGTGTGTGGGAAGACGTTGATTCGACCTGCCTTTTTTTTTGAAATCCCATTACCATACGTCAAGGTAGTAATCAGAATTAACTGTCTGACCTTGATGTACCCATTCTTGGGAGCAAAATTTCACGAGAATTGAAAAATGATAATGCATTGAACTATGACGTCTTGGTTTGCTTCGTGCGGATCCTACATTTCATGCTCCGCATCTTTGTTTTAGGAGGAGAGGGCAAGACATAGACCTAAGAGTACGTATGTCTATGTTTTGCCCCCGCTATTGTCTGGATTCTTCACACAACTATCGCATAAGTTTTGGAATTCCCGATCCCACCAGTCATGACTGGTTCTGTTGCTTTTCTTGTGGTTTAAAAATGACGTACCTGAGAAGATGAGCTGCAAGGTTACAACACATTCATTTTTGCAGATGATTTAAAAATATTTAGATCCATTAGTTCTCAGGCGGATTGTAAGGTCTTGCAAGATAACATTGAGCGTATCAGTGACTGGTGCGTTGTTAATAAACTAAAGCAAAACATTGCGAAATGCTTGATTTCTTGTTAAATTTCGATGAACGGCATTGGTGAAAATACAAGTACAACAGCCAGTATACATTATGAAATGTTACAAATTTTCAATATAGAAATTTGTGAACATTGCATACATGCAACATTTAAATCATAATCAACAATTGCCACTAGTCTGGATGGTTTGGTACCCAAGTGAGATAAAGCTCGCATTAGGAAAACTATGAAAATTATGGCACATGCGCTCTTTGCTCGTCCATCTTAAGGCTGATCCGAGGTCTAATTACTCAGCCATTTATGTATATATTATATTTTTTTGGAACCAATCTATAAACAATGGATGGTTTTATGTTTAGAGTATAGTCTAATACAAGTTTGAAAATTGGTTTAGATTTAATGTAAATTTGTGTTGAAAAACTGTATTTTGCTGAAGTTTCAAATCATAATTAAAGTAGTAAACAAAAATCTAATGCTATGAAAACCTCCCTTTGCATTATTTCTCACAAAATATTGCTAATGTATTTATTAGTTACGTAGCAATTACACTGTTACGAAACCCTTGGAGGGGTTTCTAATTTGGCCCATCGGATCAGCGGATCGGTTCAGACGTGGTGCCACATTTATCTGTTCCTCCAACCCCAATTGGAGGGGGGGGGGGGCGAAAATATCGATTGCTAATGACTGCACCATTTTTTTAACTCACCTCTATAGTCGTTGTGAAAACATGATTGGAATATTTGAAATCGTATACTGGGGACAGGTATCTAAGCCCATATAAATGGGAGTTGCCTACATGTTCAAGCTGATTTCTACATTTGTTTAATTTTGCAGTGTTTTAGCTTCAAACTTGCATAAATAGCCACAAAGGTAAGTCATATAATCACATAAAGTTTTAATGGCACTTAGGGGTGCAACCTGACTTCTCAGCCAAAACTGGTTGCACAGCTAATATCAGATCAACGACTAATAGGTATCGGTTGGTATTGAGGGGAGGGGGTGGGGATAGGTTCAGGGGGTTAATAGCCCCCGACATCAATAACCCTCCGATTTTATGCCTAATTAGCAGTTAACCTTTCATAGTATAGTATGCCTGTTTGGCCAACCAGCACTGAAAGAGATTAGATTATACCACTGAGTGCCATATAAACTTTATCTGACTTAATTACTTACCTTTGTGGCTTATTATGCAAGTTTGGGGCAAAAACCAAATATTTTCACAGCATGGAGCTTAGTCTAATGTCATAAAAAATGGTGTAGTCATTATCAACCAATATTTTCGTCAACCTCCCTGACAGGAGTTCCAAGAGAAGATCCGCATGGCGTCACAGCGAAAATTGATTACTATCTAATTAGATTAATCCGCGAATCGATCAATTGAATCGGTGGATTGTTTTCTAGGAGTTTTGGTTAATCAATTTGATTCGTGGTTTAATTATGTAACGCTCCGTTGAACGTACGCTTGGTTTGTGTAACACTCTTAGTGTGTTGGGGAGTAGTTGGTACCATTGACATTGACAAGACTTCTCTTTTGCTTTTGTCATGGAAATGGCAGGTCTTTCTTTGCGAAAAAGGTGGATTTGATTGGAATTGGGACAGAGTAATCAGAATAAAGTTGTTTAAATTAGTTATCTAAGCGTCTTCCCGCGAATGGAGAGCTGGCAGTATCCCCTTTAGGTAGAGTTATTTTCATAGAATTACTCCTTGTTAACACGTTTTTTTCTAGGTTATACCATATGTTTAATTTAAATTACCGATCTTTGTTCTAGCTATATCACAAAAATCGACCACTCCAAACTTTCTCGGGAAAACACTTTTTCTTATTATGGATTCTACAGGCCACATTCTATAAGAAAATGTTTTTTTCCGGTCGATCTGAGACAATTTTTTTTTCGGGGCTCAAAAAAGGCAGTGTTCATCCTTCCTTTTTTTCCAAAAATCGACCACTCCAAAATTTCTCGGGAAAACACTTTTTCTTATTAAATGTTGTGCGTAGAATCCAAAACAATTCGTACTTTTTCGATCAGACCTCTCAATCAAAAGTTATAGACTAGAAACCAATTTCGAAAAAAATTCAAAAGGCTGTAACTTTTGAACTAGTAGCCCAATCTTGGAACTGTTTGAAATTATGGATTCTACAGGCCACATTCTATAAGAAAATGTTTTTTCCGGTCGATCTGAGACAATTTTTTTTCGGGGCTCCAAAAAAGGCAGTGTACAACCTTCCTTTTTTTCGAAAAATCGATCACTCCAAAATTTCTCGGGAAATAGTACATTGATCTACAAGTTTAGAAAAGTGTTAGTTTTCTAGTGAGTGTAAATGTTTGAATTCACGAGTGAGCGCAGCTCACGAGTGGATCAAATTTGCACGAGCATAGAAATTCAATTTTCTTTCGTGTAGATCATGCTATTTTTTCGTGTAGTTTATAAAAATACCTCTAATTGTAACGTTTTGTTTTGATGTCGAAGAATAATTTATTATAATATCAAAGTATGTTGAGCATTTGTTGATATGGTAACAAAACATACGAACAAGTAAATAATTTGTGAATAACGCTCATTTAAAATGAGTCAATCAAATGGAAATAATGAAGAAATTTTACAATTGGTATTAGAAGCAGAGTCAAGTTTATTACCTAAAAAGTTCAAAGTAAAGTACGAGAAATGTTGCCTACAATTCTGTGACTGGAGAAATATAAAAAATGTGCAAGGAGCAAATGAAGATATTCTAATTGCGTACTTTATTGGAAAGGTTTGTATTACTCGTATTTATAATATTTATTAGCACTGATTTTTAACTATTCTTAGGCAAAAACTCTTAAAAAGCTTCATCTACACTATGGTCACTATACTCGATGCTGAGAAGTACAAATAAATGAAAATGTGGATATTACTGGGACTGGCTTACCTGCAACGTCAAAATGACGGTTATGTGGCAAAAAAATCGAGAGTTCTATCGATGGATAACGTAGTCTCCTGATGACAAGTTTCTGTTTATTGCACTGAGGCTGTCGGGCGGAAGAATTATGGTTACTAAAAGTGGATGATATAGACTATTTATATTTTATAAACGTTGCGGTCGCTTTCCTCATCTTCTGGTGTACCTAACATTTAATAACTTAACAAATTGTTCATTTATGATTTACAATAAAGTGTTGCTAACAAGAAAAGTCTCACTTTTCTTCACGATTTTTGATTTAACAATGCGTCACTTTTCTATTAACTACACGAAAAACACTTTTTCTTATTAGTTTTGGTGCGTAGAATCCAAAACAATTATTATTAACTTATTAATGGGGTACGTAAGTTCGAATTAATTGGAATTAGGCCTGATTTTTGCATTGTAGTTTTGGATATATTTTTCTTTGTACGTTATGAGCATGGGGATTGGGGAGTAATACACGCCTTTAAAATTATATAACTTTGTCAAACCTCGGCGGTTGTGTCACCAGAAGACCTCTTTTCCCTGGCTAGCCGTGTCCAATTCCCTTTTCCTTCTCGACGTTCGCTGCAATTAGTGTAATTCGCGGTTCAATCAATTTAATTCGCGGTCTGATCCCTTGGAATTTTCTCTAATTAAATAATTTTGTGGTTTGATTGGTCTAATAAAATTAAGTCGCAAATCGATTTATTTAATTTCAGGTATAATAATAGTATATTAAGTATGGAGAACGGTAAGGAATTTTTACCGTTCGAAGACAATTGTTTGGAGGAGGAGCGGAGCGACGACTCCAATTATTGTCTGAGAACGGTAACCCTTAACGTTCGACGTGCTTATAACATTTTTTGCGCGATCGAAATTAAAATTATACAACCAATATAAATATGCACTAAGAAATTAGCGAGCAGAATAAATTGCAATGATCGAAGTGGTATGGTGTACATCACTAGGTAACCAGTTTATTTGTCAAAACTGAAATTAATAATTTCTTGTGCATGTGTCTGATGTAGTTTGCTAGCTTTGCACTTCCGTTATAACTTTATGAGCGAGGTATTCGCCGGTGGCCGAATGGTATGTCGAAGATTTTACAGAACAAAATTGTAATTGGAATGTATTAAGAAAAACGAAAGCACAACTTTAAACACATTGATCTCTATTGCTTCAGGTTTAAATGACGTGTTCTTTGTATACGAAACATCAGCACAAATTGCACATTTAATGTAACAATAATTCAAGATTAAATGTAATATTGAACTGATTGTTTTTAAAAAGGCGTCGGTAAGTATTTTTGCTGTTCTGTTTTTAGATCGGTAAGTAATTTTGACGTCGTCGTAATCATAGCAACTGGTAAATTCAACTTACTGTCATGGAAACACACATGGTAAATAGTCAGAAATGACCGATCGCGCAAAAAGATACATAATTACACATATGTAATCAATAATTATACACATGTAATTACTCATTCATTGAAGTCAAAATGTCAGACAACGGCGGGAAATTCAAAAATAGGAATTGTAGTTTAACAATATTATGTGGTGCCAATTTCTTATTCCTCACGTCTACCTCTTTCTTACTCACTGCCATATCTTTTCTTACTTCTCTATTCTGAAATAGACGTTGGAACTTAAATGAACAAGGCAAGTTTTAATTGATTATCAAGTGGACAATACTCAGAAATAAATGAACAAAAACATTACAAGCACAATCGAAAATTACAATTTAAAATATACAATAAAAAGCTCGTTTACTGAACCAAATATATTTTTTTATTATTTTTATTTTGCCTTTATTTTTGAGTGGGCGGGGTTTCAGCCAAGGCTGCTCTACCAACCAACCCCACTATACATTTACATCCATGCCCGAACCAGGATTCGAACCAGGGACCCTTAGCACCACAGTTCAGCTTCAACTGAACTGCGCCACACCTTTGAATATATTTATAGGCCACACGGACCGGCAACGACGCCACACGGGCGGCTATACCGATCGTTTTTGTAGTTTAAAATAAGGCCTTTTATCCTACACACAGTTACATATTTATCTTGACATGACACACACCTTAAAAAGCGTAATTTTTACGTCCTCCACTCACAACTTCCAGAATTCGGCTTCCTGGTCGATAACAATGGGCGCATTCAGCAGCGTTTAAAATGACGCTTCGCGCACTATATGTTAGTGCAAAATGAGATGGGAGATAGAAAAAATATATTATATTCTAAACAATAAGTTCATACAATGGACAGTGGGAAGTACTTTTACATTTTACATCTAAGGCTAGCGATCGCAAAGGTCATTGTTGCTTTTTTCAATTGGAATTCATGGGTTGCCCATCTCTACCGTAAAATCGGTTCCGTCAACTCATTGATCTCCCACTTCACCTTTCTGTCCAGTTTGTACATCTATTTCCCTTTGGCTTACACTGGAGTTATACCCAACAAAAGATTAAATGTAAATAAGTACCTATTTTGTCAGAGGTTCTTACCATTCAAACAATAATTGCCGCCTTGTTCGCCTTTTTCCCCTGGCGGTCCTACCTTTCCTTCCTTTCCAGCATGTCCTGGTGTACCTACCAGTGGTAATGCTATAAGATTATTAAAGTAAATATTTAAATACCTGAAGGCCCAGGTCTACCCTCTTGTCCCGGAGCACCTGGAACACCTGGCTCTCCTTTCACGCCATCTCTCCCTGATAGTGAAAGTGTTTTATTAATAATTTCGCCTAAATTTGTTTTTCGTTTCAAATTTCTACGAGAAGGATTACCTACCATTTCTACCAGCATCGCTAGGTTCACCTTTTTGACCAGGAGCGCCAATTTTTCCTGATTCTCCGCGTGTCCCAGGCGCCCCTATAATACAATTTTAACATTTGTTTTTTTTATAATCTATGTTCTACCTGATGGGCCAACAGCTCCTTTTTCACCAACTGCACCTTTTTCTCCGATACTTCCTTTCGCACCTTCAATCCCGTCTGAACCTTCATTCCCGCGTTCACCCTTGTCACCAACAACTCCTCGAATACCTTTGGGTCCTGAAGTAATAACATATTTATAATAATGAACTTGTGTTTGTAGTGCTACACGTTAAACAAGTAGCTGGTTATACCAACCCTGTGTGGTTTGGTAAATTTTCATTACTAGATATTACATTACCTGGGTCTCCTCTTGGACCAGATGAACCAGGAAAGCCTGGACGACCTGGTGGGCCTGGTGGGCAATCATCGTCACGTGTCGGATGGTAAACGACAAGTTGAGTTGATCCGCTAAAACTAAACAATTCAGATAAATCAAAGGATGGTAGAGGAATAGGTAGAGGTAGAGGTAGAGGGAGAGGCAAAGGAAGAGGTATTCCTCTTTTAGAGATGGGGTGTCTATGCCCACTAGATGGGAGCCCCTAAAAATTGAAAGTATGAAATACAAACCGATACAAACTAAATAAAATAAAGTAATTACTTTACGGTTGAAAACTATTCCGTTGCAAATATCTTTTAAATACTCTTCCTGACCAAATAATTGTTTAAACTTCGTCTTGCAAACGTCATTACGTACTTCCTCTAGGAACTCTTCTCGGAAATTGATCTTTGCAAGTTTGTATACGTAAAAGCCGAAAATTACTTGGACTAAAGAAATAAATAGCACAGAAAATAGAATCAAAACCGTTTTATTTAATATCGTCGAAGAGTTTGTTTTAACGGACACCATTGTAAGCACAATCAAGAATAGAAATTCCCTCCGTTTATTTATAAATCATCTTTATCTTCTCAAATACGTCACGAGATTATGACATTTATTATTTGCAACAAATTATGCAAAGGTTAGGAAGCGGGAAAACCGTATTTTCAATCTTTTGCTTTGAATTTAGTGGTTATTTACATGAAGGTCAGGAAAATGACTCATTACATGACAGGCACTAGGAACTTGTCAGTGCCACTGTTATGAAAGCTAAAATTTCCTGACATAAAGTAAGCATGAAAATGAAGGTTTCGTGAGGATTGCGGGAAAAATATTACATACGTTCTTTTCTCTTAGTGGTATCTTTCTAATTTTGTTTTATTATAGGGATTAGGGAATAAAAAAAATTACGGGTGAATAAACGGGTTGTTCAAAGATCATTATGTATGAAGTAGAACTTTGTTGTGCTGAATGATATGATACTATTCCTACCTCTTTTTTGAATTTCCATTACTATACGTCACGGGAGTAATTAGAATTAATTGTCTGACCTTATTGTGCCCATTCTTGGGACGAAAATTTCACGGGAATTGGAAACTGAGTTGAATTGACCTTTGATGTCCTGGTTTTCTTTGTGCGGATCCAAAATTCCATGCTCCGCATCGTGGTTTTAGGAAAGTTCCTCTGGGGCTATGTCTTGTCCCCGTAATTGCTTAATTATCGTTGAAATTTGAAATTCTCAACTCCTGCGAAAAGATAAAACGTTCAATTTCTCTGTAAATTCCGATGATCACTGACAGTGGTGAAAATAAATTGGGGAATCTTAAAAATTTTCAATATAGAAATTTGCTTTTTGCTTTTTTTTAATCGTTACCATTTCTAGCACAGTCGAGTGTACCACAAGGGGCACTTGGGTGGGTTGATTTTCCTGTTGCCCTGAGAAGATGAGCTGCAACACATTGATGGTGCAAAAATATTTAGATCCATTAGTTATCAGGCGGATTGTAAGGTCCTGCAAGATAACTTTGAGCATATCATCCGCTAGTGCGCTGTTCTCAAACTAATGCAAAACATTGCGAAGTGCTTGAGTTCTTAGTAAAATCCGATGATCGGCAGTAGTCAAAAATGCGCATTAAATTCATCACCCAAGTTCATTTCGGAACACTACTTCTACACTATAGACAACACACATAGCTGTTGTACTGCGTATTTTACACAATAATTGCTCTTGGCAGCTTTAGAAGGACTATTCTGATGAACCATCGTGTCAATGGAGGAGCACCAGCGAGCCGATGTCTTTTTGTCAAATAATTTCCTCAAAACAAACTGAAAACAAGCCGTTAGACACTTTTGGTAGGTCCTGCAACACCCGTATGGGCACGATTACACCGAGGAAAGCCCTAAAGCTCACTTCTGGTAGTGCTGAGGGAAATGTACAAAAAATCTCACTGGCCGAAAATAAGCAACTACGATAACGGCCTTGCCTTGTCACTTGGGACGCCGCGTTAAGGCACTGTTGGTGTTGCCACTGGGCAACCCTCATATTCCACCCTCAGGATAACCAGGTTGAGAGAAGGAACCAGGAAATCAAGAAAGGCTTCCGAATTCATTTTCAGGGAAAGGACCCAAAAACGTGGATACGAGCTTTCGCGGCCGGGAGAGTGGCATGCGAAACCTGACTCGCCAGCCAGAGTGGAAGAAGACGAAGAAGCAAAAGAAAACGGATAAGGCGGGTTCACCGTAACCAACACTGATACAGATCGCGCTACGGAAACTATGCCCGGTTCGAAGCAGGCGACCTCGGGATGGAAGGGGCAAGAGAAAAAGTCACGGGTGACTTACGCTGCAAATAGAATGGGCCGGTACGGACGCGTATTGAATTAGAAAGCAAAATAAGTCCTTACAAAAGGAATTAAATCGGTTGTGGTATAATGTACTTAGCAGAAAGTAGAACTGTACATAATACTCTAAACTAAAGAATTAAAATGTTGATCTAAATCACAAAGAATGAATCGTTTAGTGCAGGAAGTATTACTTGCTCAACATTGATTCGCCGTTACAAGTTGAGAACTATTCTTAAAGCGTTACACTAGAGAGACGCATTATCCGTACGTTCGGTGACCTCATTTCAAAGTTGCACAATCTGAAATTCAAATTATAAATCGAAAAATTATCGTGTGCAGGGTAGTAGAAATTTGGCTTTTTATTCTTGTGCACAAACAACGTTTTGAACACGGTCGACCTTCATTATCCTGAACATTTTTATACAATGAGAAGAAATTTTGTACGAAGCAGGCCAGAAAAGGATTCCACTGTATCACCAAGCGATCCAGTTTTCAATTTTTCCGGGAGGGAGCTTTTCTCAAGGGAGGGTCGTACTATTCGTAACCTAAAGAAAACACCGTTTCCAACGATAAATATGTTTCTTTAATTTTTTTTGAATTGTGTAAAGTGTCGGTCGATCATCTTTACCAGTTTGCTGCGGATGCTTATTTGACCTAATCATGAGTTTGTAAGTTTGTAAGCTTATGCCTTTTGAGCTTTCACCCCACACTCGGAGCTTTATGATCACGGTTTAAGCACATAATAAACCATAGGATTTTTTAACAACTTTTTAAGATTTTTTTACGCTTACATACTTTGAGTCGCTTAAGATTTGAGATGCGTACTACATTATTGCTAAATTTTTACATTTGAATTACTCGGCTCGAACATCTGTAGGTACAATTCCATCATCACAGAAGAAAGGGTAAATTATCCTTTTTCCGCCGTCAACAAGCAGCAGTTCCTGAAAACAAGCGAAACTCATTACCAACCTAAGAACATGCAAATATGTAGTTACGTTATTCCTATAATTATAAGTCGCCATTGTAATTCCACCGGTTTGGTGAATTCCTCCTAGATTCACTTCAGTTGACGTATTGGAAACCAAATTAAAGGCCCAACGGATCTGTACTTCAGATGTTAACGTAAATTCCAAAGTGTAAACTACACCCGATATCACAAACGTGTCTATAATTTGGTTATGGTTTAAAGTAATCGTCCACATGTCTTGGATGCGCATATCGTCATGGTTAATCTAGAAAATATAGTTTAATACGTTTTCTAACGGGTATGGTTCACACCCTAGCAACACCCATATAATCTTGAATTGTGAAAACCACCCATAGCCCATTTTGGTCAACACTAAAATCAAATAAGTTGTATCCGTTTAAATACAAACGTTTCCTATCGGGCTTTGAAAGATCAGGTATGGAAAGGGTTTGGCTTTTTTCATTTTTGAAGTCATACTTAATTATCTTTGGTTTACTTCCTTTTACCTTGTAAAAAAAGAAACCACTGTAAATAACATGCGCATTCCCATCAAATGCAACATCTAGGTCATATATCCTAAAATACAATTTAATTTCCGAAGGACTTCGCCTTTATTTACCTTGAAGGTGCATTGCTAATAAACGAGTATATGTTTTCAAATTCGAATAATTTCAGGTTATCGCTTGTGGTAGTCCAATACTTGTTGCTGTCTTTATCGCTTGGTGGTTTAGAATCTACCATAAAGGAGGTATATGCCTCGTCAACCTTTCCAAGCCCTTCTTTTTCGCCTAACACAAATGAAGAGCATTCTAGAAGCATCTAAGTATTTAAGGCAGTTGGTACCTACACGTTTACCTGTTTTGCTAAAATTACCACCAGTATAATTGCCGTTCTGTAGTTTAGTAATGCTTATTAAACTGAAGTTTTGTTCCGATTCTCTACATTCGGATCTGCATTGACCTAACGGTCAGTTATGAATAACAAGAAAAATCATCTGAAGAAAAACCTGGCATTCCTCGCGGTCCAATTAGTCCTTCTTTACCATGTGGTCCAGGAGGACCGAGGTCCCCCTTTTCCCCTTTAATTCCTTGTACTCCCGGGAGACCATCTCGCCCGTTAAAACCTGCAGATCCTTGTTTTCCTTCATCGCCTTTAAGACCCTTTACGCCAGGAGCTCCAGCTTCTCCTTTTATTCCTGAAAGTCCGTCCTTACCTAAAAGATAAAATGTAAAAAAACTAAACTGTCTAACAAATTATACTCGTATTACCAGGGTTTCCGGGGTTTCCCTTGGTTCCTTCTTTACCCGGAGAGCCCTTTTCTCCGTGAGGCCCATTCAATCCCGGATCTCCTTTCATTCCTTTCACCCCTGACAGACCTGAAACAAAATACAAACATGTTAAAAACGCATTAAATCCGCAAAAATTTTCATAATTGGTACCTGGTATGCCCTGTTCACCTTTTGGACCCGATGGACCAACTTTTCCTTGTTCACCGTGAATACCTACAATTAACACTAGAACAATCATCCATGAGACAAATAGGTTACCTGAGACGCCGGGAGTACCTTCCTTTCCAGGTAAGCCTTTATCTCCTTTCGAACCCATTGGTCCTTTAATTCCTTGTACTCCCGGTAGACCATCTCGCCCGTCAAAACCAGCAGATCCTTGTTTCCCTGCATCGCCTTTAAGACCCTTTACGCCAGGAGCTCCAGCTTCTCCTTTTATTCCTGAAAGTCCGTCCTTACCTAAAAGATAAAATGTAAAAAATCAAACTGCCCTTGGTTCCTTCTTTACCCGGAGAGCCCTTTTCTCCGTGAGGCCCATTCAATCCCGTATCTCCTTTCATTCCTTTCACCCCTGATAGACCTGAAACAAAATACAAACATGTTAAAAACGCATTAAATCCGCAAAAATTTTCATAATTGGTACCTGGTATGCCCTGTTCACCTTTTGGACCCGATGGACCAACTTTTCCTTGTTCGCCGTGAATACCTACAATTAACACTAGAACAATCATCCATGAGACAAATAGGTTACCTGAGACGCCGGGAGTACCTTCCTTTCCAGGTAAGCCTTTATCTCCTTTCGAACCCATTGGTCCTTTAATTCCTTGTACTCCCGGGAGACCATCTCGCCCGTCAAAACCAGCAGATCCCTGTTTCCCTTCATCGCCTTTAAGACCCTTTACGCCAGGAGCTCCAGCTTCTCCTTTTATTCCTGAAAGTCCGTCCTTACCTAAAAGATAAAATGTAAAAAATCAAACTGCCCTTGGTTCCTTCTTTACCCGGAAAGCCCTTTTCTCCGTGAGGCCCATTCAACCCCGGATCTCCTTTCATCCCTTTCACTCCTGATAGACCTGAAACAAAATACAAGCATGTTAAAAACGCATTAAATCCGCAAAAATACTCATAATTTGTACCTGGTATGCCCTGTTCACCTTTCGGACCGGGTGGACCAACTTTTCCTTGTTCGCCGTGAATGCCTACAATTAATACTAGAACAATCGTCCATGATACAAATAGGTTACCTGGGACGCCGGGAGTACCTTCCTTTCCAGGTAAACCTTTGTCTCCTTTCGAACCCATTGGTCCTGGAATTCCTTGATATCCGTCTCGACCTAACCGGGTACTTGAATTATAATAGAAATGATACGCTGCTGCTTACCAGGTAGGCCCGGAGGACCTGGAATGCCATTAATACCATTTTTACAGGGTACAGCAGGTATTCCACTTACTCCTATTGGCCCTACAAGACAGGTCCACATATTCATTCCGATTAAAGTATTGGGACAACTGGGGGAAAAAACCTACTTTGGTCTGGGTTCTAGTACAATACCTGGTGGTCCTATTGGTCCAGCTATTCCTTGCACACCCGGGGGTCCCGGTGGTCCTGGAGGACCTGGCGGACATGGAAGTCCGGCCGAATTGCGCTGATTAACACGCGAAGTTTGCCCTATTGAAATGAGTAAGTTTAATGCCATTATTGTGGTACACAGTCAACCTGGTTTATGAGGCACAATAGGATTTGAAATTGATAGCGGTACAAATTGATGGGGGTGTGTGAAACCTTGATCAACACCTCGTTTATGCCGACTGAATATGCTGGTGGGGTAGTTCTGCTAAAATTTAAATGCTACAGCCAATTTCGCTATAATAGTGTACTTACTTTATAACTTGACATATCCGAAGGAATGCTGTTACAACCTATTTCAACACAAACATTTTTTAAGAGCCTTTTATTGCCAAGTAATGTTAGAAATTCCTCTTTGCAGACACCTTTACGAATTTCTTTAAGAAATTCTTCCCGACAATCAGTTTTTATAAAATTGTACATATAAATTCCAAAAAGCACTTGTAATAAGAGTATGAATAATGCACACAGTGTGAATGCGAATATAACGGTTTTGGTAGTCTGTGAAGAATTCATTTTATAGTTGACGAACTAACTGGTAACTGAAGGAGCTCGTTCACAAACTTATTGCTAAAGTATATATGTATATTGGTGATTCCCGCAGTTGGTTTATCTTCTTTTTACGTCATAAGGTTACGACATCGTGGACGTATCAGAAAATAAACATCAGTTGGTGGTGAATTCTATCTACTCTATCTATGGTGCCATCATTTATTTTATAACATTTCGAGATTGCTGATTGGCATTGATTTCAAAAACGTGTATGGCTACTGTTCTTTGTATATCTAGGTAATTTAGTTCTAATTACGGTCACGATGCTTAGTGATTCATGAGGACCTCCTGGTACGTACTACGTACGAAAACCACCTGCATTCCCAAAAAATGCTCATTCGAACTAAAATATTGTTAATACGGTAGCATGTGAAACATAATATCCGTTTTTTTATTACAATTTTTGGTTCCATTTAGCTATAATGCTCCTAATAAGAATAAATATTATCAAAGATTTTATTTTGTTTTGACATGAATGCTTCTGTTATTCACTGGACTTATAAATATTGATTTAAAACCAATTTATTTAAGTTGAAATCATACCTTTTTTTAAAATTTGATTTTCATCAAGGCGGCACAGGTACAAAATAGTCTAAAACCTTGCATAATTCTAAGAATAACAAGAGAACTCGTTATGTGTGCGCAATTTCGTTAGAAATATGTCTAAACGCATCAGTTAGATGCTCAAGAGGTACGTTTTGACTATGAAGTGGCGCAACCGTTATTTACGCATTGATTTTTTTTTAGCAAAACGTGTAGTCGCTTAGTACCGTAATGTCTAAAAAGTGAATGCCATGCACTTTCATGGATAACGTGCATTTTAATAAAGTTGGCTCAAATTCGTGATTTATCGCTGATTTTGTTCGGAAAATGTGGAAATACTGTATAGCATTTGCACAGAAAGATGTCAAAATCGCTATTCTTGCCCTGATCGTATCGAGATAACGTGGAAACGTGCAACAGCACTATCCAGTATGGCCCCAAATTTTTTTTATTATATACAAAGTGTCCCAATAATGGTCACAGGCCATATCTTTCGATATTCAATTATGGAGATATATTGTATGGCCCTTGTCTAGACTCCACGACTATAACGCGAATACAACGGGTGCAAAATACTTGCATTCGATTCATATTTAATCTAAAATATAGCGATCACATCTCTCAAAAATTACTTGAGCTTCAGTGGTTAAATATGGCTAATAGACGTAAATTACACCAGGCATCCTTTGTTCAAAATGTTATGTTGACGTCAACTCCCCAGTATATAAAAAATATGCTAATTCCTCGGAAAGAGTGTCATAACCGTATGCTTAGGAAACTTGACTACCTAATAATTCCTCAACACCGCACATCCTTTTTTGAGAGATCCTTCACATACGCCTCTGTATCTTTGTATAACTCACTCACACCCTATCTACGTTCGTTGCCTAAATCGTTGTTTAAAATTAAATATAAAGTGTTTCTGTTATCACAACAATGACCTGAAATTTGGTTTGCGTAATATTGCATTTGTTAAAGTTAATTGTTATGTTAGTTTGCCACCGTTATTGTAAATGCGTTGTTAATTTGTGCTTACCAGTTGTATAGGTTTAGTGGAAGAGCAGCCCTATGGCTGAACTACGCCTATTCTAATAAAGGCATTATTATTATGGTCGGTGTTTCTTGTGAGAACTCAGGTCTAGCCTGGTTAACTAATCGCACGGATTAAAATCAAGTAACGATTAGTGTCTGTGTCTGTGTCTAGTGAAGTTATGTAGGGTTCTAAAGAAAAAAAAAAATTAAAAAATAAAATAAATATTCGCACACTCACATTGGACATCTAGGGATAGTATGTAATTCGTACTTACCAACGCCAACGCTATCAGGAAAGAGGAAAACAAAACAAAACAAAAAAAATCATTATTATAATTCCTGTAATTTTATTAAATGGAGTTTATTGTGTAAGTGTTTCTTTGGCTTTGCGTTTGGGTTGAATACGAGTGGGTTGTGATAACGTGGTGTGCTTCTGTGAAGAAGGAGTTTTGTGTTTTTTAATTGTATTTATGGTGTTTCTTTGTTCCTGAGGTCGTATTTGTGAGGTTGCTTGGGTTTTTGGTGGAGATATTGCAGTATTTTGTGAGCCTGTGGTGCTGTTAAGGTTTTTGCGTTTCGGTTGTATACGAGTGGGTTGTTTCTGAGAAGAAGGAGTATTGTGTTTTTTAACTGTGCTAGGGCGTGTAACTTTATTGGATGGACCTGTCTTTGTAGTACATGTTGCGTTACTTGTGTTTATGGTGTTTCTTTGTTCTTGAGGTTGTATTTGTGAGGTTGCTTGGGTTATTGATGGAGATATTACAGTATTTTGTGAGCTAGTAGTGCTGTATAGGTTTTTGCGTTTGGGTTGAATACGAGTGGGTTGTGATAACGTGGTGTGCTTCGGTGAAGAAGGAGTTATGTGTTTTTTAATTGTGCTAGGGCGTGTAACTTTATTGGGTGGACCTGCCTTTGTAGTGCATGTTGCGTTACTTGTATTTATGATGTTTCTTTGTTCTTGAGGTTGTATTTGTGAAGTTGCTTGGGTTTTTGGTGGAGATATTTTAGTATGTTGTGAGCCTGTAGTTCTGTTAAGGTTTTTGCGTTGCGGTTGAATACGAGTGGGTTGTGAAAATGTGGTGTGTTTCTGTGAAGAAGGAGTTATGTGTTTTTTAACTGTGCTAGGGCGTGTAATTTTATTGGGTGGACCTGTCTTTGTAGTGCATGTTGCGTTAGTTGTATTTATGGTGTTTCTTTGTTCTTGAGGTTGTATTTGAGAGGTTGCTTGGGTTTTTGCTGGAGATATTTTAGTATGTTGTGAGCCTGTAGTTCTGTTAAGGTTTTTGCGTTTCGGTTGAATACGAGTGGGTTGTGAAAATGTGGTGTGTTTCTGTGAAGAAGGAGTTTTGTGTTTTTTAAATGTGCTAGGGCGTGTAACTTTATTGGATGGACCTGTCTTTGTAGTGCATGTTGCGTTACTTGTATTTATGGTGTTTCTTTGTTCTTGAAGTTGTATTTCTGTTGTTGCATGGGTTATTGGTGGAGACATTACAGTATTTTGTGAGCCTGTAGTGCTGTTAAGGTTGTTGCGTTTGGGTTGAGTACGAGTGGGTTGTGTTTGTGATAACGTGGTGTGTTTCTGAGAAGAAAGAGTATTGTGTTTTTTAGCTGTGCTAGGCCGTGTGGGTGAGGGCGTCTTTGTAGTGCGTGTTGCGTTACTTGTATTTATTGCGTTTGTTTGTTCAGGAAGTTGTGTTTGTGTGATTGGTTGAGTTAAGTTTGGAAATATTACAGTATGTTGTGTGTCATGTTGTGAGTCTAAAGTGCTGTTTAGGCTTTTGCGTTTGGGTTGAATACTAATGGGTGGTGATAATGTGGTTTGCTTCAGAGGTGAATCTCTGATTGTAGTATATGTTGTATCATTTGTTGTACTTGTTTGTTCGGTAAGTTGTATTTGTGTGTTTGTTTGGGTTAGAGGTGGAGATATTACAGTATGTTGTGTACCGTGTTGTGAGCGAGTACTGTTGTTTACATGTATACGTTGTGGATCATTTCTGTATGTAGTATCTTGTGTTATGTTTAGAAATTTACGAACAATATGGCATGTGTTGATAATGACTGCTTTTTGTAAATGTTTGTATGTGTTTTTGTCTAAACCTAATAGTTGTAAATTGTGGTGTATTGTCTTTGGTATAACTCCAGTAGCACTAAGAATAATGGGAACTATAACAGTAGATTTCATTCTCCATTGCGTCTTAAGCTCGATAGCTATATCGGTGTATTTGCGGTGTTTTTCTGCATGTGTTTTAGTTAAGTTGTTAGTGTTGGGGATGGCAATGTCTATAATACAAATGGATTTTTGTGTTTTATCTATAAGTGTAATGTCTGGTCTATTATTGTGGATAGTTTTGTCTGTGAGTAGTGTCCTGTCCCAATATAATTTGTGTGTGTTGTTTTCGAGTATGATCTGTGGCGTGTATTTGTAGTATGGTGTCGTATCTGTTATGAGATTGTGTTTAAGTGCTAATTTTTGATGTATGATTTTAGCTACCTGATCGTGTCGATGTTTGTATTCAGTTTGTGCAAGTCGTGTGCATGCCGATATTATATGTTGGATTGTTTCTGATGTTTGTGAACAAAGTCGACAAGAATCATTTGTCACTGTTTTATCTTTATGTATGTGTTTTTTATAGTTGCGTGTGTTAATGACCTGGTCTTGTATTGCTAACATGAAACCCTCAGTCTCCGGGAAGACATCACATTCAGACAACCAACTGTGCGTTGCTATAGAGTCAACACAATCCTGGCCAACCTCTTGTGGAAATCGTCCATGTAAAGGCTTTTGGTTCCATGTCTGTATGTTATTTGTGATGTATGTAAGTTTGGATGTGGGTGGGAGTACATTAGTTTCGTGTAGGTTAAGTGGTGTGTAAGATTTGTCTGCATATGTTACTGTTTTGTGTAAGACTGAAGTATCTGATTTGTTATAAAAGTATTGTCGCAAATTGTGTATTTGTGTTTGGTGCAATAGTTTTATATCTGTAAGTCCTCTACCTCCTTCCGAACGAGGAAGGTAAAGTCGTATAGTGGAGGAGTGAGGGTGATGTATATGGTGTTTTGTTAATAGTGTACGTGTGTTTCTCTGTATTTGTTCTAAATCTGTATTTGTCCAACGTATAATCCCGAAAGAGTATGTAAGCACGTGCCTGATTTGTTCCTGTGTGTCTAATGTAAGGAGTGTATTTTTAATGATAACTCTACGTTGGTCTGCAATGCGTTGTTCTGTCAAGTGTGCTAAATGTGGGTATTGTGTAATGAACGCGTGATATAGTTTACCTCTGTATGCTGTCCTGTCCGTTTCCATCTTCGTGATCTCCAGATACGTACCGAAAATGAAGCGATTCATCCCTTCGTCCCATTTCATCCGTCTTTTGGAGGTATCCTTTGCGCTGGTCCCATCCACAAGCGGTTGAGAAGCAGGCACAAAGGTCTCTTCATGGCATTATTATTATTATTATTATTATTATTATATCTATGGAACCGTTAATTGCACCGCCTCGCGAAAAAATTTTGTTAACAAAAGGGGCCAAGAGAAATCGCTGGAAATTATTTTCAAGTTTCTAGCTTCGCCGCTAGAGGGCGTACGATTCATGTTTAAGTAGAAAATGACTTTTTTTTCTAAAATATACCCAACAAACAGGCATAAAAAATACATGCATAGCAACCTCGTATCAATTTTGCATCATTTTGTTGCAGCACATATTGCTCTAGCTCATAAAATATGAGAGGTGGGGGAAGGAAACATCTCTTGAATGTAATTTCGGATTAGGTTAACAGATTTTTACATAATAGGTGTTGTTGGAATGAGCTCTCTTCGTGGAATTAGATTTTACATGAATAGAGTCTTTTTAGTAAACGTGATGAGTGTTATAGGGCGCGATGGGACATTGATATAAACTTTGCAGTTTTTTTTGGAAAATTCACGATATAATTCTTATATGGTATTATCAAATAAGATGAAAAAGTGAGAATATCAGTGAAAACCGCATTTTGATATCTGTTTTCTAAGCAGAGATATGGCGAAAATACGAACGTTCACAAATTTTAATTGCAACATTTTTATTCATCCAAGTTGGATGGCCACAAGGCTATTTCCATCACATCCCTTTAAAACTCTTAGTTTTAAAATGGTGTGAGCTTAAAGGGCTAAAACAAGGTAGTGATTGCATATAAATACGCGTCTATATACGTCTATCTCACTTAATTTTTGTCGTACAGAAATTTCCCGGTGAGGAAAATGCTTGGAATAAAAAAGCTACAATTGGATGCTGTAGCATTTTTTATGTTATCTCCAGTTGTTTTGTAGTTATTTTGAAGAAAAAGACGTTTTTCACAAAATTGCAGAAATTCGTTTTTCACTTTTAGCTTCAATTAGGTAAGTATTTCAAAATTAAGTCTTCTAAACTGGTCACACTTCTAAAGAACTAATTTTAATTAGGGTGGTCATTAGGGGGTTGCTTGGGTTGATTTTTTCGGTGAAAAAAGTACGGATCTACCTTATTTTCATCGTAACTACTTTAAAAAGTGCTCTACAAGTTTTTCTCGAAAAATGCATAGTTTTGCCGTTATTTCTTTTACAAAATGCATACTTTTCAAGTTTTTCGCCACTAAGCAATTAAAAACATTAACCTTTTCGATGAAAAACTCATATTTTGATCGCAAATAACTGGAGAAGTATTAACTTTCCAAAAAAAATGTACATATACAACACTTTTTGCTTAGAATTAATTTTTCTATCTATTCCTGTGCTAAAATTACAATAAAAAATTTACTACCCCTGAGATGTGGTGGCAACCACACCGAGGGTGACAGCGCCCTTTGGTATGATACAGATTTTGATCCTTTGGCTATTTCCTCTACCAGGGCAAAACCTTTATTTCGTGGACTATTATATCTACATTTTATAGTAGATAGTTACCAATCTCGTTTGGATATTCGCAAACTTTATGCTTTCCCTGAATCTTCGGTCACTCTCAATTTGGATTGCTACTTGTCCCTCGAAATTGCCAATTTTCATTCACAAATAGACCTCTCCTCTTGGTAAAATGTAGACGGTAAAAATAATATAAGTGATTGTCTATCGAGAGGTTTGACCCCTTCCTAACCAATTCATCAATAAATCAATGTTAGGCGAGTGGTCGAGAATGGCTAAAAATGGATGTTTCGAAATTGCACATACCACCGTGTAAATATCTTACACCGTGGCCCATACGTACAGTCCACGCAGAAGAAAATCATTTCATTTCATTAATTTGTGTCATCAAATTTAGGGTTATTTTTCTGTAGCTTTATGAAGTGTGAATATCCTTCATTTCGGGGGAAATGTTGGAGCAAAGGTTTGGAGCGGTTGAATATTTAAGTTTAATAGTTTTATTTCGTTTATATGTATAGATGGAGTATGTATCCATTCATTTGAGTTTAGTCTGGGAAATTTTTGGTGATAAGATTTCATTCAATTCAAATAGAATTATTATTGTGGTAAGTGTTTTGATGCGTGTTAGGTGTATCGCTACAGCTTATTTATTAATCTTAGTCGTTCACCTATCTATTGATCAAGGTGAGTGATATTAGTATCATATTTCAGTTACATATATAAAAATTGCACAAACAATGGGGTTTGGTTATTTAATTTAGGATATGTAATACTTTTATATTATTTTTTAAGTGCAAGTGGAATCATGGTAAGAAAGAATCCCCCTAAAAATTAGGGATTTTTCACATTTTGGAAAGTCGAAACTATTTAAAGCTATGATTTAATTATCCTACTTCAAGAAATGGATTTGAACTTTCAACATTTCATATGTAACGGTGATTGTATGAAACTATAAGCATCAATAAAAAAAAGCTTTACCCCAAAGCTCTATCTCTATTATATTCCGAGATTCCTTTCTTGTTGGCCACCCGATACAAACGCAAATTCAATCCAATTTTTGTGTTATGTTAGTGGTATCATTCGAGGTTCTTAGAATCCTTTCTGAATTCAATACAAATTGAAATTTTGGTACAACGTAAAATTATAAAATTTGTGCCGGCGCCTTTACAACTTACACAGCTTTTAAGGTTTAATGTTGATACTATTTTATTTATTTTTTATCTTCTGTATTATGATTTTTTGCGTTTTTAAGGAGACAGTCAACCTTTGGTTCCTGTTCCTTTGTTGAGTATCTTTATTTTCTATTCTTTAGTATTCAATTTTATGTTGTGAAAGGATTTGGGGATGATTTTGTCCTGCGAATCCAATTGCAGGTCAATGAGACCATAACCATATGTATCTAGTTCGGAAGGCATTCTTTTCCTTTACTTTCTTATTCATTTAAAGGTTGATTTCTCTATGCAAATGTTATAGCTAATGTATCATTCCTGTTAGCATATGAAATAGCACTACTATAGTTACCTATGTAATTACGCTCACGCATTACCATTCGGTTAGGTTCATAATTTGTAAGGACTATTTTGACGGGGGTGTCAGCGAACTTGATTATGTGTAAGAACAGGTAATTCAGAAAACAAGAAATATTTATTTATTTGTTAAAAAATCCCATAAAATTATGAAAAGGTAATCTGTGACTCCTTAATTACTTAAACTGAACACGAACTGGCCCTTTTAAATAATTAAATCATGTACTACTCCGATCGCACATAAGTAGGCAGTATTCCTTGATCATCACAATAGAATGGATAAATAATTCTTTTTCTACCATCGACAATTAAAAGTTGCTGAAAAGATTGAGTAAAATTCCTTACTGTTGGTAAACTGTGAATGACAAACCTCATTTTTGTAATCGTACGTGACCGCAGTAATACCGCCGGTTTGTTCAATTCCTCGAATATGCAATTCTGTGACATTCCTTGAGAGAAAGTTGATCGTCAAGTTTATTTCAATTTCGAAAGTTGGAGAAAATTGGAGAGTGTAAAGGGTTCCAGCTGCGATAAACATATCAATAACGTGTTTATTGTTTAGCGGCACTTCCCACGTATACACGACACTCATATCATAGTGATCAATCTGAAAAGCTTACGATACAGTACTTTTCGAAGTTTGAATATTTCAGTACTTTCATGACTATGGTAGAATCCGAATCTGCGCGAGAAAAGATAGCCCACAGACCGTTTTGGTCAATGCTAAAATCAACGTAGTTGTTACCACTTAGATACAAAGGCTTCATTTTGCAGTTTTCGAATCCTGGAATCAAAAGCGAAGCAGTCACATCATTTCTGAGATCGTATCTAATGATTTTGGGTATTCCACTCATTTTGTAAAATAGAAATCCATCATGTACTACGAGCGAGTTACCATCGACGGGTATCTCGAGGTTATGAATCCTGAAAAATTAGTTAGGTATTTGAGATATTTATAGGAAACGTATACACCTTGACGGGTTATTCAAGGTTAGCATGGTTGCGTCCTGAAATTCCAGTAGCTGCGTATTGTCGTGGGTAGTTGCCCAAAATCGGCCAAAGTCAGACTCTTTGGGAGGATTGGAATCGATCATAAATGCTGTATAAGATTCGTCGGCAGAGCCAAAATACTCTTTTTTTCCAATTGTAAGTGATACGCAGTCTTTAAATGAGATAGTTGTAAGCGGAGGAATTACGTGCATATATCGTACCTGCACGTGCGAATCTGATGGTATCTTCGGTTAAACTGTTTTCAATTCCAATATCGTCGAGCTCCTCTTTGCACGAATTACATTTACTTGGCGATCCAGGTGGACCAACTGGTCCCGGGTCGCCTTTCGGGCCACGCTCCCCAGGCAGTCCGGTACTACCACGAGCACCCCGTTCCCCGGGTTGTCCTACAAAGGCAATGTACCCTCTTCCTTCCATGCTTAAACACATTACCGACTACACCTGGTTCCCCTTTCACTCCATGATCGCCTTTAGCACCTACCCATCCGACCTCTCCTTTATCGCCCTTTGGCCCTGTTAGTCATTCAAAGTCAACAGACTACTGACAGTCTACCACTTACCTTCGACTCCCCTTGGACCAAGTAGTCCTGTTACCGCAATATTATTTAAACAATTGTAGCGATTAATAATTACCAGGCAATCCTGAAAAGCCCTGCTCTCCTTTATCCCCCTTGGCCCCAGGTACTCCGTCGCTTCCACGGTGCCCATTTTCACCTTTCTGGCCTGGGATTCCATCCATCCCTGTTAAAAGTCTACTCTATCTCCCGTTTGCGTTTTTTAAGCTCACTCATACCTGCGATACCAGGAAATCCCGCATTTCCAGGTGGGCCTACTGGTCCTACGCTACCTGGTAACCCACTTGGACCTTGCAAACCTATAATTTTTAATTAAATGATGTAAGTTAATTTATGTAACATACCGGGGGGTCCCATTGGTCCTTCAATACTTTGTCCGGCAGGACCAGGTGGGCCGGGTGGACCAGAAACTCCTGTAGGACCATCGAGTCCGGTTGGACCGGGAGGACCCGGCGGCCCGGGAGGACCTGGAGGACCCACTCGTTTTTTGAATGGCGCTACTGCCCTACGCTTTCGGCTTTTAATGTACTGAAATTAAACGAACAGTTAACAGTTTATAATTGTTTTACTCACAACGACGTCACAAAATCGTCTCCAGTTTTCTTTGTCGTATATCAACTGCCTGAATTCTTCTTTGCTAACACATTTCCTAGTCACACTGTTTTGCACATCGTTTTGAACCGATTTGTATATGAAAAAACCTATTAGTATCTCTAACAATAACATTGCGATCACAAAACATGACGTGAACAAGATTAACTTATTTGATTGAATGGCGCTCATCTTTAGCTCACCGAGTTGAAGGGATTTATCAACAATTATCACTTCCAAACGTATTTAAATGATGTGCCCCCCGGATGAATTTATCAATACCGTGAATAATGTATAAATTATGCTTACACGTCATTGAAAAGGTTTGATAAGACATTTATTACACAATACAACTGTGACTTCAACCTGCATCCCAATTCATCCGCTGGCTTGAAGATGCAAAATTGTGGATAGGATAAGTTTAACTAGAAGAAATAGTTTGTAAACGATTTCAGTTAGGACATACTGCTATCTATTGATGGACAAAGGACCAAAGGCTATGATCTATTAAACATGTCTAATTGCTATAATAAAATTTAATAGAAAGCGTATTTGATACACAGTTACGTCGCCATAATTATTATCTAATTAAAATAGCTCTTTTGAAAACCGATTAAAGCGAAATTGTCTGAAATAGGTGACTTCCAGTTTGTACGCAATACTTTTCAGGCAGTCATGATTGTCGCCTCAAGATCGGTATTCCAATTTAAGGATATGGAAACGCAATGGCGAACGCGGTAAAGATCAAAGGGATTGTCGGCATGGAATCTTTCCAATTTGAGCTGAACCATGTTCTAGGAGTCATCCGTAATTATCATTATACAAATTGCTTTAAAGAAAACAAAGATTATCCTCATTAATTTATTACATTTACAACAAAGTTTTGTCAACAATTGTACCAAAATAACCACTATTTTTGCTACTTTGAAACAATGGTTTGCTGACAAACAAGAGTAATGGAAAAACGGAGTTACAAACTGGTCTAGCAGCATTTACAAAGTCTTGAACCAGGCGACCAAATTTAATTCGCTCTTATTCGCATCATTGCTTCGATCATTATGCCTCTGCCCTCGTTTGTAAAAATCAAACACTTACCTACGGTAGCGAGAATCAGAGAAATGATATAAATATGAAGAAATATCGATAGCCAATGTGAAATTCATACGATAGCGTTTATGTGAATTACTAGGGCACTTTGGACGCCAAACGTTTTGAATTAGTTATACGAAGTTCTCTTCAAAAAACGTCGTTCTGTCAGGTTAATGCGAAATTACTTGACTTAATGTAGAAATTGAACTATGGCATTTACGGTAAAGCTATCCCAATAGGTACTTTTAATTACAGTCGACGAATTATGTTTTGTCTACCAGCGGAGTTTTGAAACAAGCTCTGATAGTGTCCGCTTTCTACTAAACAGAGTATCGCTACCTAAATTTAACGGAAACCTCCGTGATTCGTTGCAATTACGGAAAATATAATTTTTTAGATAATAGTTGTACCTCTAAATATTGTAAAAACTATTCCTACGTTTGATGACAATTAGGATATATCCGTTCAAGCTTTATTGGATAGATATAACCATCATAGATCACTCGAGACGCCGTGTTGGAATGAAATCCAGAATATTCCCGGTTTAATTGTGGAATCAAGTGGTGAATTACGTAAATCGAAATCGAGGGCGAAATCACGTCTTGAAATGACTAAAATTGAAAGATGCTTGGGATTTCGTTCTTATAATATTAAATATTATCTAGAGGTTACTTGGATTTATTAACTCGCAAAGCAGTTCTTCCCAGTGGCATTCGTTGCTACAACCCCAATAGCGTCATGCATTAGTTAAACGCCATCGCTTATGTTTTAATTGTTTATCGTCTGGCTACGGTATTTTAAATTTCACAAACACCACTATTTATTGCACCTCACTTCACAGTATTCTAACTTCTGGTTTCCAGACTTCTACCACAACACTAAATTCTACCACAAAAAATGCAACGGATTCAACGGTTACCACTTGCAGTTGTTACTCTGCTCCACCGTTACGTTAAGAATTAAAGATAAATTCGGACATTTTCATTGTGCTAGAGCTTTGATGGATCCCGGAAGCCAAGTTTCTTGTATTGCAACTCGTTTAGCTGACAAACTCAGGTTGCTTTTTATATGAATACGATACTTGTACACCGCTATACTGGGTCCGGTGAAATACGCTAACACTCGAGAAAAGCCTCGAGAAGAAGTTCAATTTTATTTTCAACTTTGAATGAAGTTTTGGAACAATTCTGGAAGGTTGAACAAATAAATATTGCTGTGTTTATTTCGTCTTGCAGGATGAAATTTTGGAAATCTTAATTAAGATGGACAGGGGAGGCCTCCTTTTTATGTAATTCACTTTCATAATTAAATTTTTTTAATTTGTCGTTGGTCCATTGTAACGAGAAAGCGGTCAAAGTTGTCTTTGTTTACATTTTATTTTTATTTAACGTAGAATTTCCGGTTATTTTGTTTGCTTTTATCTGTTATCATTGTAAATGCTTAATTTAATTGACAGGTGGATGTGATTTATCACCTTTTCTTTGTAGTTAAAAGAGATGAATTTTTATTTTTCCTAGTAATAATGTCTGATAAATAATTTGTTTAGTACAATTATTCGAACTCTATTATTTTGGTCTTTTAACGTAAATTGAGAGGATATTTTCTGTTACCAACTGTGTATGATTGGTTGTTATAATTTTGATTTTCGTAAGAAGGGTTTCGCCTTAAATAGGGTTTGCACAAGGATAGCGTCGCTTTGAGCAGGAGTCAACGAAGAACTAAGTTTGTTGGAAGTTTGAATTCAGCTTTTACGCTAAGTTCAGGGCCCAAGTGCGGTCAATTTAAAATTCACTGTACGCACAGTTTACGCCGTTACGTCTTGTTGAAGATTTAATTCGCTTTATGGAATTTTGTGAGTAGAACTATGTCATTGAAAGTAATTAAGTTTTAATTTTAGTCTTTGTGCGTGTTAGAATTAAATCGCACTTTTGTAATTTTCATTTAATTTCCGTGTGTTTCATTCTAACGACTTCATTTCTAATTCACCTGTGTTTGGATTGGATGCTTGCCCAAGGTCCATTTTAATTATTCAAAATTTTGACAGGTTAACTGAGAGCAGAGTTGAATCTCTCCTCTATGCTGGGGAGAAGTTTTGTGCCGTGATAATAAATAAAGAGCTAGCTCGGTTTTTGTGTTGATGTATTGTGTACGGTCTTTCTGGCCTACGGACCAGTGCACGCAGCAATATAAATTAACTTTAACTTAAACCGGTGACAATTGTGGATACCGGCGGCAAGGGACGGTACACTGGGGCGCCACCAAACCTGCTTCAGAGAAAAAGGAAGCTTTAGAGATCGAACAGGCACATTGCAGGTGGTCACGATCGAAGAACCTAAAAGCAGAATTACGACACACGCAAAACAACCATCTTCCTATCACAAACAATAAAGCATAAATCAAATATAGGAAAAACGAAACAATACCCCCCTTATATTAGAGAAAGGAAAATAAGCAACAATCAAAACGATTTCCACTAAACAACTTTGTTACCTTTTATAAAATTCAGCCACCTCATGGAGAGACCGGCGTTTTTTCCAGAGCACACAGCGCAGTCGATTGTTTACATCCAAAAATTAAAGTTGATCTATTTAATTGCACGGGCTACTCACGTCCTAAAAATCTGTAATTGGTCTTGAAATTCAAATTAAACTTCTATTAAGACCACTCACGATTTAATCGGATGCTGTTTGGTGCAACTCATTTAATTAACAACGGTTAATTATCACAGTTTTAATGCTCGTTTTCATATACCATTGCTCATAGTTACTTAACGAAGACGAAATATTAATTTTTATTTGTATTCTACATGGCAAACGTTTTCGAATGTAAGAAAAATAATTTAATTATTCCCATGGGAACAGCTATAAATGAAACAATTAAATACGGGCTTTTGTTTTCCTTATCGGGGGCTCTACAACCACTTCTTCCTACCTTCTATTTCTAGCTCCTAAAACAGAAATAAATATTTTCGGACGGACAGCCTTCGTAACGAAGATAGCATCTGTAATTGGGCGCAAGTCTGTTGAGGGCCCAGAACAAGAGAGGTATAATAAATAAATAAATAAATTCGTTACACTTAGGACAGTCGATATTGCAGACTCTAGCGGGGATAGAAATGATTTATATAAAATATTTTTCATTTAATAATGCTATGCACATTTTCTCATAATTGTCCCTTAAGAGTGAAGATTAGGGCAACTAATTTTTTTTAATAGAAACCTATACTTTGTATTAACTATTCTTATTCTACACCGGAAAGTAATAAACTTCCGGGAGAAATGGTTTTCCCTGCACTATTTTTATTCCAAAAGCGAGATTTTTGGTTAAAGCTAATAAGCTGTTCTGTCAAGAATTTGTCGCATATTTTAAAATGTAGTAGCACATAAGAAAGTGACTTATAATTGCCCAATCTATTACTATAGTGTAGAAATTATTGCCTCTCTCATTTATAGATTTTTTTAAATTGAGAACAGTGGCCTAACATTAAGCTGGAACCTCCCAAATGGGCTAAATGTCTTTAGGCCCGAAGTAAATTACAAACGAGGATTGTAGCATTTTTTTGCTAATTCATTATTAAAAACCTCTACATCAGCAATTTTTTCAGTAAATTATAAATTTCAAATTAATTACTTACAACAAGAGAGGGAAATAAATTCATTGCCACAGTGGTTTTAATGCCAATGACTATATATTAATTACCTACTAAATGACCAGTTTAAAATTAATAACTCTATAGATAACCGGCTGGATAAATTGAAACGGTTAGGAATGCCATTTACCTATAAGGTAAAATTTATGTTACCCATTCTATGATATTTATGCTAAACCATTATCTTACTTTAATTGCTTATAGTAAATTACAGGTTAAAAATTAGAAGATCAGAAAATAGTGTAGTCGCAAAGTAAAGTGTCATTGTATGGTATTGAATGATTTTGATATTGCACCAATAATAAAGTCTCGAATAACAAGAATCATTGGAAAAAGAGAATGTGAAGTATATTTACAAAACCAAAAGAAGGTGCATTTGAAATTTTAGTCTGTCGTCATCTTATTAATGATGACATTAATTTTCGAGAGTATTATCGCTTGACGCCGGATTTGTTCAATTATGTAAAGACAGATATATCATTGAAGGCAATATTTTCATGTGTCCTGACAAAAGCCATCAGATCTCACCATGTTCAGCATCTTCTTTGTGTTTACAGTTTTCTATTCCTTTTACTCACTCGCGATTGAGTAAAGTTTCTCTGGGGATCCCGGAGACAAGAGTTTTTCTTATAGGACTACAATCTACCTTTCTTCCTTGCCCGCTATAGTCACTGTTTGATGCGCAGCTACAAAATTTGGGATGATTGAACGATGTTTTGGAAGAGGATGTAAAATTTGACACTATTGCTTTTCAATATTCGAACTCTGCAGAACTTAACTTAAGTAAAAATGATATGGAGCTACAGAATATACTGCAAGTTTCAACGCTGAAACTGTGATGGATCCAAACGGGCTTCATCTCTCTGACAGACGACGTCTGGGTGTCCTGCACCCCCATTTGAAGATTTGTAAATTTTGGTTTTAAATCAATTCGATTTTCAGCGAGATTACTGCAATCAAACACCAAGGGTGTCGTGCACACATGGCAGGGGAGCAAATTCTCAAAAGTTCTCCCAAACTTCATTTTTACTGCGATTAATTCTACCTAAAATACTAAATGTTTTAGATTTCCTTTTAAAAATGGTACAATGCCGTTTGGTTTTTTTATTTATAGTACGCAGTAGTGTGTAAGCTAACATCACGATAAATGCGTACAAATCCTTTTAATACTCGTATGATAATGTTATCACAATTATAATTACCGGCTATCATTACTGGATGCCAAAAACTACCGTATACGTGGACGGTAAAGGGAACCACCTTTTTTGTCCTGGCAATAAAACGGATAAATCATTCTCTCCTTGCCATCGACAATTAAAAGCTCCTGCAAAAGCAAGCTCTACTTAGTTTGTCGTAGTTAGATGGATGGCAGTACTACACCTGATACTTATGATCGTAGGTGATGGAAGTGATATCTCCAGTCTGTTCAATTCCCATGATATTGACTTTCGTAACATTGCTAAGTATCAAGTTGATTGCCCAACTTATTTGTATCTCAAAAGTTGGTGAATAATCCACAGTATAGACAGTTCCAGATGCAATGAACATATCGATATAGTGCTTATTACTTATACCAATTTCCCACGTGTAAATTACGCTCATATCCAAGTGATTTATCTACACAAAAATCAATTTTCAGATTTAATCTCAGGAACAATTAAGTACCTTCGCAATCTCTGTCGACTCTTCGCGCATGTGAGAGAAAATAGCCCACAGGCCATTTTGGTCGACGCTGAGATCAATATAGTTAATACCACTAAGGTACAAAGGTTGCATTTTACATCTTGCAAATCCAGGTATTAAAACGGAAGTTGATTTTCCACTTTCCAAGTTATATTTAATTATCTTGGGCACTTGTCCACTCATTTTGTAAAAGAAGTACCCATCGTACACCACATGTGAATTTCCGTCAAACGGAATAGCGAGATTGTATATTCTGAAATATTATTAGCGCGATTTGGAATTTTAGTTAGCTGCATACCTGGACGGAAGATTAGAGCTCAACGCAATCGAATCTTTAAATTCCCAAAGTTTCATATTGTCACCAGTAGTTGCCCAAAATGTACAAGAGCTATGATTCACCTTTTCTTTGGGGTCGACCATGAAGGAGGTGTAAGTTACATTGGCAGTGCCAACAGAGCGTCTTCCTCCAACTCCATACATTTTGCAAGCTTTTGATTATAAGGTCATGTATTATGAAAATGGACTTATGAAATCTTACCGTACCTGAACCACTTAGTCTGAATTTTGCTCCTGTCCGACATCGTTTACCTGCAATGATTGGGGACCGCATACTTTTCATATCACAAGTACCATGCGAATGTGAGTGCTTCGGTTTAGCGGTTACAGCAGTTGAAGAATTCGTCACTTTAGCGGTTACACCTTGTGCACCACGTAATCCAGGGGAACCTTCCCGTCCAGGTTCTCCAGGCAATCCTCGTGCACCTGTTTCTCCCGGTTTTCCTTTAGAGAAACGGTAAAAACTTTGGAACCATACAACAAAATTCTTACCTGCTACACCCGGGCTTCCTATTGGGCCCATTGGTCCAGGATCCCCTTTATCACCTTTTATGCCATAAGCGGTTTTGGCTGTTTGCCCTGGAGCTTCCGGAGTGCCAGGGGGTCCTGATAAGAAACAATTACTTTTACAAATTTCTATCACTATAATATCCATTTTTACCTGGGCTTCCTGGATTTCCTTTATCACCTTTTTGTCCAGGTAATCCGTCTTTCCCTTTAATACGCAGTTAACATTTTAGAAACAAATGCTAGCTAGCCTATACTTTGCAAACTATAATATAATAAAAAAAGTAGTGATCACCTGGTGGACCGGCGTCTCCTTTACTACCCGGTGAAGCTGGCGGACCAGGGGGACCCACCACTCCGTGCTCGCCGGGATTCCCTTTGGGGCCTGGTAAATGAATAAACGTTAATTTCCAGGTGCTCCAACCTGCCAAATGAAACTAAACCTACCTTGCTGCCCAGGTGGTCCTGGTTTTCCAGGTGGGCCAGGTTGTCCATAAATTGGTTTAATATTTCCGGATCCCTCCGTCCGACCTGGTGGCCCGGGTGGTCCAGGAGGACCCGGCGCCCCATTAATTTGCTGTGCGCGCCCAGGTTCTCCTTTATCTCCTTGACGACCAGGTGGACCGTCCTTTCCTTTGATAATACGCAGTTAATGATTTAGAAATAAATGACATTTCATCTAGAGTACCTGATTTTCCTGGTAATCCATCATCACCTTTAACGCCGGGGGCGCCGCGCACACCTATATCGTGCAGAAATAATGAAATAAGAAAATAAAAAAAACCGTGGACCAATTATACCTTGCTGGCCAGGCGGCCCTGGCGGTCCAGGTGGACCTGGCGGTGCGGGTGGTCCAGGAGTACCCTGTGCTCCTTTAACTACATGTGCATGGGCAGGTTCTCCTTTCGGTCCTTGTGATCCGGGTGAACCGACCTCTCCTTGTATAAGACACAGATAACATTTTACAAACACAAGACTAAATTTCACCTCGTTGGCCTGGAGAGCCCTTATCTCCTGGTTTTCCCGCTAACCCATTTTCCCCTTTCCCACCGGGAACGCCTCGTTCACCTATATCGTACAAAATAATAAAATAACAAAATAAACAGGTCTGTTATTGTCACCTGGTAGACCAGAATCTCCCTTTTGACCATGCACACCAGGGGGGCCTACCGCACCTTTCTCGCCTGGATTCCCTTTTGGTCCTGGTAACCCCACAAAGAGTAATAGATGGATTACTTGTCCTATGTAGCTACGCTTACCTTGCTGTCCAGGATGTCCTGGCTGTCCAGGTGGGCCAGGTTGTCCATACATTGGTTTAATATTTCCAGATAAAAGTGCTTGTCCTGGTGGTCCTGGGTGCCCGGGTGGTCCTGGAGGACCTGGTGCTCCATTAATTTGTTGTGCATGACCCCGTTCTCCTTTTTCTCCTGGTGGACCATCTTTCCCTTTAACATTTCACAATTAAAATTTCAGACAGGAGAAAATAAATTTTACCTGGTATGCCTGGTTTTCCCGGTGATCCATTTTCCCCTTTTCCTCCGGGAACGCCTCGTTCACCTATATCGTAAAAAATAATAAAATAACAAAATAAACAGGTCTGTTGTTATTTTCACCTGGTGGACCAGAATCTCCCTTTTGACCATGCACACCAGGGGGGCCTACCGCACCTTTCTCGCCTGGATTCCCTTTTGGTCCTGGTAACCCCACAAAGAGTAATAGATGGATTACTTGTCCTATGTAGCTACGCTTACCTTGCTGTCCAGGTTGTCCTGGCTGTCCAGGTGGGCCAGGTTGTCCATACATTGGTTTAATATTTCCAGATAAAAGTGCTTGTCCTGGTGGTCCTGGGTGCCCGGGTGGTCCTGGAGGACCTGGTGCTCCATTAATTTGTTGTGCATGACCCCGTTCTCCTTTTTCTCCTGGTGGACCATCTTTCCCTTTAACAATACACAACTAACATTTCAGACACGAAAAACTAAATTTTACCTGGTGTGCCTGGTGTTCCCGGTAATCCAACTTCTCCTTTTCCGCCTGGGGCACCTCGTGCACCTATATTTTTGAAAACATAAAATAGCAAAATAAACAGAACCGTCATTGTCACCTGGCGGACCGGAATCTCCGTCATTACCATGTGGACCAGGGCGACCTACCGCACCCTTTTCACCCGGATTCCCTCTTGGACCTGGTAACCCTACAAAGGGCAAATTTGGCAGATTGTCCAGTCTGTCCCATGAAATTAAGCCTACCTTGCTGTCCCGGAGTTCCAGGGGGTCCAGGTTGTCCGTACATTGATTTAGTATTACCGGATACGATTGTCCGTCCTGGTTCCCCGGGGGGTCCGGGGGGACCCGGCGCTCCCTTGACTGCTGCATGCCCACGTTCTCCTTTTTCTCCGGGTGGCCCAGGAAGACCGTCCTTACCTTTAACCCACAGCTAATACATTACAAACAAAAGCTAAATTTTACCTCGCGCGCCTGGAGAGCCCTTATCTCCTGGTGGTCCCCGTAATCCATCTTCACCTCTTCTTCCGACAGCACCTGTATCACGCAAAAACAGTAAAATAAACACAATTTCCATTCTCACCTGGTGGACCAACAAGCCCATCACGACCTGGCAAACCAGGCGATCCAGGAGAACCCTTCTCTCCCGGATTCCCTCTCGGGCCTGGAGACCCTATGTAATTTAAATAAAGATAATTCTTTTGTAAAGCGTGAAATCGTAGTTACCCGTTGGTCCCGTGTGGCCTATGGAACCAGGTGTTCCGGGTGGTCCAGGTGGCCCCGCCCGGCCAGGTGGCCCAAGCTGTCCATAGAGGTGTTTTATATTTCCGGATCCGTGTGTAAGTCCTGGTAGTCCTGGTGGCCCGGGTTGTCCAGGACGACCCGGCTGTCCAATAATTTGTTGTGTATTCCCAGGTTCCCCTTTCTGACCTGGTAGACCCTCCTTCCCTTGAATGGTATACCATTAGTATTTTGGAAAAGAAATACAGATCTTCACCTTGTGGCCCTGGAATGCCCTTGTCTCCAGGCTTGCCTGGTGTTCCATCTTCACCTTTTCTACCGGGAGCCCCTCGTTCACCTGTATCGTGTGAAAACTATAAAATATCAAGACAAGGTGATCCTTTCACCTGGTGCACCAATACGACCTGGCGAACCTGATGGTCCAGAAAGGCCTACTGCGCCTTTCTCGCCAGGATTTCCTCTCAGCCCTGGTAACCCTATATAGTTTCATACACAGTATGAAAAGAGTAAAGAGTGAAATCTCATATACCCGGTGCTCCTGGCTGACCTGCGAAACCAGGTTTTCCTTGCTGTCCTGGAGGGCCAGGTGGTCCAGTAATTTGTTTGGCATTCCCCGGTTCACCTTTAGGTCCTGGTGGTCCAGTTGAACCGTCCTTCCCTTTAAAGCGCAGTTAAAATTGTAGAAACGAAAGACAAAATGATAAAGCACAGTTAAAATTTTTGGAACCAATAGAACAAACTTCACCTGGTAAACCTGGAGTGCCTTTATCTCCTAGCCTTCCCGGTAATCCATCTTTGCCTTTTTCTCCAGGGGCGCCACGTTCACCTGTGCACAATCAATAAAATATAAATACACGTGGATTCGTTAACTTACCCGGTGATCCTGGTTGCCCTACGAAACCTGGGCTTCCTTGCTGCCCGGGTGGTCCAGGTGGTCCTGGCTGCCCATAACTTAAAGTATGTCCGGTTCTTTGTGCGAGTCCTGGTGGTCCTGGTGGCCCTGGCTGTCCCTGAGGACCAGGTGGTCCAGTAATTTGCTGCAAACCTCCAGGTTCCCCGTTATGTCCTGGTGGTCCTGGCGGACCAGGCGGCCCAGGTGGACCTGGTGTTCCGGGCTCTCCGCAATTAAGTTGATCTTGTGTGGGGTTTTCAGATCGCCCTGGAGATCCAGGTGGTCCAGGTTCACCAGGCCGTCCAGGTTGTCCTGGCTGTCCGGGAGGTCCAGGAATGTGGTATGTGTCAGAATAGTCTTCAGCAACTCCAGGAGATCCAGGTGGGCCAGGTTCACCGGGACTTCCTTGTGCTCCCGGATCACCAGGTCGCCCAGGTTCTCCTGGATCACCAGGTCGTCCAGGTTGGCCAGGAGGTCCTGGAATGTTATGACGTTTTCCTGAAGAATCAGGGGGCCCTGGTGGTCCTTGTGGACCAGGCGCTCCACGTTCGCCCGCCCGGCCAGGCTCACCAGGTTGTCCTGGTGCGCCAAGTTGTCCAGGTTGTCCCGGTTCTCCAGGTTGTCCAGGAGGTCCCGGTTCTCCTGGAATCCCACGAAATTTGTACTCGTTATTTACGCCTGATCCAGTGTCTCCAGGTAATCCAGGTGGACCGGGTGGCCCAGGTTCGCCGGGGCGACCCGGTTGTCCTGGTTCTCCGGGATGCCCAGGAAGGTTATACATTTGATTATCAGTTGCCGCAAGTCCCATGTATCCAGGTAATCCTGGTGGTCCAGGTGGTCCGGTTGGCCCAGGCTCACCAGGTAAACCAGGCGGCCCGGGGGGCCCAGAAGGTATGTCATCACTATTTACGGCGGGTCCTGGCAATCCAGGTACTCCAGGTGGACCCGGCGGTCCAGGTGGTCCAGGTTTCTCAGGACAGGTAGTCACCGGGGCCGAATGTTTGCGATTGTTTCTTAATTTGAAGGATATAAATCTTCGGTTTCTGCTTTTGGGGCGCTGAAATAACATAACGTGTTATTATAGGCACTCTCGATTGCTATGTAGATACTTACATCATTAATTTCAGTAGTCTCATACATTTCTGTCCAGTTATCTTTTTCGGTAAGTACTCGCTCCAGTTCCTTTTTGTAAATTTCTTCACGTACCCCATTCATGAGCTTGATTTCAATTTCACTTTTAAGACTTTTGTAGATTAGAAAACCTATTAAGATTTCTAACGAAAAGGTTATGGCAGCAAAAGAAATTGAGGACCGTGTTGATTTAACTGATTGAGTAACTTTCATTTTTTTAATTGTGGGTTGCTAGAAAGACAGATGAATTTTTCACAAATGTGAATAAGGAATATAAAAGTTATTCTTACACGTGTCTTAAAAGGAAATTGATCTATAGGTGTTGTGCACTTCAATTTAACACCTAATTTGTGAAAAAATCTCGTTTGCAGTTAGTTAGTAGTTAAGTTGTATCGGGCGGAAAATTAATTTCAAGCAGGCTGCAACTCGAATTCGCATTACAAATCGATTAATTACAAACGTTCTAACCCACATCTCTAGAGTAATTATCATAATGGATCACGACAAATTTAGTTTCAATACATTAACTATTTATTGTACGGAACGTGTTTTTAGAAAATAGCTTGTTAAAGCTTTCTTTCGAAAACTAGATTTGTTGGAGCATCTGTGAAAGGCGGGGCCCGCTTTTTGATTTTGCTTAGCGCGTTTGACGCCGGATTCCGCAATTAAGCTTCTGCCTATTTTATTGAGAAAATCTCGCGATTCCTTGCACCATGGACCAAGTGTCTCGAAGGCAAGTCCCATAAATATATAATCTTTCTTTAGATCTCGATATTATTTGTGTTTTTTTGAGCATGCCTCTTCTGTTGCAGCCCCGGCCCTTATAGAAGTACTTTTCATGTTTGTTGTGGATAGTGTCCACGCATGTACAGTCCCATGCAAGGGATTGGCCTTTTATTATTAATTTAAACAAATATTGACATAGCAGATCTATGTATTACAGTGACCTATTTGTAATATTTTTGAGATCATTTGACACTGAACAGTAATTGATTTGATTTATTCACTTTTATGTACTAGTTTGGCTCTGTAGTTCATCAATACTTGAAGTAATTGCAAATTTTGCTTCGTGTCAGTTAGAATGAAATCGATCCGAATTGATTTACGAGTATTACATGGTTATTATCTGTCATTTTTTTCCCCGTTAATGCGACTGATCTATGACCTCTCATTAACAGCCGCGTCTTAATCTTAATGATTCGTTTGATTGCAAAAGTGGTGCCGACGATTGAATTTAAACCTACCAAACAAATTCATAAGTGGGTAGGTACATTCACATTTAGAAGGGAACGTGTCCCGTATTTTAAAGAAAGCACTTCTTGTTGTAATTGTGACTAATTGCATTAAATAAGTTTTCTATGGATAGGTATTGATCGCGTTTTTGTTAACATAAACTCCATTTGGTAAAAATTAACGGTACATGACGCAAATTAGACCCCCAGGTATGATAATGTTGAAGAAAATGTATAACTATTGTAATAAATGCTATATTTGAAGTTTTTTAAACAGAGCTTTCCTAACCACTAGTTTATAAGCGCTTCACATACGACAATTTCACGCTTATTAGCGTCACGTAACCAACATTAATATTATCTTGTGCTTCTTCAACCATTTCTTCAATAAATTATGTACTGGTCAACCCCAATTATTAATTTTAGTGGAACGGAGATATCCAGGGAATTATGTGGTTCTATATTGGAAAACGATTTTTAAAAACAACTAAAATTTTTCAGACAACGCAACGTCACAATGAAAATGCGAACTGAACTCCATTCACTACAATAGTAAAAGTACATGTAATTATAAGTTTTCCTCATCGAAGGAATTTTGCCGATGTCGTGTGAAGGCTACTCCTCCATCCTTAAATACAAATCCTAGGGATGGGGTTTGTTAATTTTATGTCGGGGGTTTCCTCTTTGAGTTTAAAAGCCTTAAAATGTTATTTTTGTAGGTGTAAGTTATGAAAATCACAAGTAAAATTACTAAAGTATGTTAATATTGTCCAGATACTAATGTTATTGAAATGCACTGTTTGAGTTAATACCGGGTCAATTTTGTTGTGATATTGGGGTCCGTGAACTTGGCCCCCCCACTGAGAGATTTCATAGTCGTATTATTTTGAAATGAATGCGCTCGTTATGCGCTCATATGCGCCACCGATAATAACTTTTGCGCCATTATCGTTTTTTAGAAATCCGAAAAAACATTTGGGGGGGGGGGCCAAGTGAACGTAGCCCCCCCAGTACGTATTTTGTCCCTTGTAACTAGGTCACCTGATACATTTGGTTATGCGCTCAATTGCGCCACTTGAATTAAAGCTAGCGCCATTACGGTTAAGCCGTGACAAATTTTCAAAAAGTGGGGGGGGGGCAACTTAACGTTTTTAAAAGTTACTTTTTTTTAACATCTTTTCATACGAAATTGTACTCTCAGGTATGCGCTGAAATGCGCCGTAAAAAGATATCTTTGCGCCATTATTGTTTTTTGGTTATCCTTAAATATATTTGGGGGGGGGGGCAAGTGAACGGAATCCCCCATAACGCATTTTGCTACCGGTATTTGTGCCACTTGATACATCTGGTTATGAGCTCAATTGCGCCACTTGAATTAAAGCTAGCGCCATTACGGTTAAGCCATAAAAAAATTTTAAAAAGGGGGGGGGCTAACTTAACGTTTTCAAAAGTTACGTTTTTTAACATGTTTTTTCTACTACATCGTACCTTTCATCATGCGCTAAAATGCGCCGTAAACAAAAATCTTGGCGCCATTATAGTGTTTCAGAAACACTCTACAGGGTGTTTTTTTGGGAGCTTTTGTTAAACGATTCTGGGAAAGTAAAATAGGTAGGTTTTTAAAAATTTGTATTTAGGAGTTACTCCGAAGGCCGAATCGATGTAAAATATTTTCAAAATGGACGCACTTCCGGAAATAACTTTTGAAAACGCTAAGTTAGACTCTCCACTTTTTAAAAATTTTTTATGGCTTAACCGTAATGGCGCTAGCTTTAATTCAAGTGGCGCAATTGAGCTCATAACCAGATGTATCAAGTGGCACAAATACCGGTAGCAAAATGCGTTATGGGGGATTCCGTTCACTTGGCCCCCCCCCCCAAATATATTTAAGAATAACCAAAAAACAATAATGGCGCAAAGATATCTTTTTACGGCGCATTTCAGCGCATACCTGAGGGTACAATTTCGTATGAAAAGATGTTAAAAAAAAGTAACTTTTAAAAACGTTAAGTTGGCCCCCCCACTTTTTGAAAATTTGTCACGGCTTAACCGTAATGGCGCTAGCGTTAATTCAAGTGGCGCAATTGAGCGCATAACCAAATGTATCAGGTGACCTAGTTACAAGGGACAAAATACGTACTGGGGGGGGCTACGTTCACTTGGCCCCTCATTTCAAAATAATACGACTATGAAATCTCTCAGTGGGGGGGCCAAGTTAACGGACCCGTGATATTGCACTTCTATAGCACATTGAATTGTTTTTTCTTCGTTCAAATTAATTATGTCAATTTTTATAGTTTTAAATTGTAGTTGTGATTTTGCAGTTGAAATCTACCATTTATTTTTTTGAAAGTTCGATTATCTTTCCGTTATCTTTACTTTGATCACACTGTTGAATAGCTACAATGTAACGACGATCCACTTGTTATCTTCCACTTTTTGCACTTTTACCGTATTAATTAACACGGGTATTTGGCAGCATACAGTATTTTGGGAATATCCTTAGCATTTGAACCTCAGATGTATTCTCCTGACGTGATTTCTCGCCATTTGTTGTCGAAGAGTATATAGGATTTTTTGTTAAGGATTAAATATTTGGATTTTTGAAATATTGCTTGGAATAGATTAATTGTAATAATTATAATTTTCTATTTCTACTAAAGGAACAAAAACAGTCTCGTTTCCCTTGCTATAGCTTTTACCTTCAATAATTTCTTCGGACAGTAAAATATTATCTAATGTGGATTCAAAGGGGAGTTTATTGATACATTTGGTGGTTTATTAAATTCATTTCTTGTAGCAGGTAATTTGGATCGAAAATTGAGTTATGAAAAGTATTTAATTTTGAAAAAGTACCTAATCGCTGTTTCGATGTTCTCTAAAACATCGTATATAATTTGAAAAGCTGTTATACCATTTGAATCAGAAAATGGCTGTGAGTTTCAATTTGTCCCAATTCAATAGTTTTAAGAACGTGCTCAATTTGTTCATGTAAGAGTAAGAGCTTCTTGATCAAGATTTCCTGTCAAAGTCAAAACATTTATTATTGTTCCTAAGCCATTAATTAATCCACGTCTTTTACTTTTATGATCTAAAGGATTTAAGTGTTTAATCTGTGTATACATTTTTTCTTCTAAATTATTAATGAGACTATATGAGTTGAGAAATTCGTTCTTATACATAATTGCATTAGTAGTGGATTCTAAAGCGTTTTTAGCGTTGTGAAACTATTGCGAAGCGCTAAGCTTGAATCGTAAATTTGAATAAATCACCAATGGTCTATTTTATTTTGGGCGTTACCTATTTTTAAAGGTGGTAAGTCAGGGTTGTCGTTCATTGGAATGAATTTGGGGGGTTCTTGGCCATTTGTTCCGTTGAGGAACCTGTAACAACAGGTTTTTTTTTAAAGTGCTTTTATATGCACTGTCTTCCTTTTGTTTTTATCATTTATTAGTTCTTTTATATGCACTGTCTTCCTTTTGTTTTTATCATTTATTAGTTATTAGTTAAATCGTCCTAAAAATATGTTATGCTTTTTATACCGCGGAAGGAATTTGGATTTTGTTTGAATACTTTTTGTCCGACTTTGAACTCGAAGGTGACATTTCCTTGGTTATTATGTTTGCCTACTATTTCTTGCTTTTGCATTTTTAAGTTATTCGGTAACATTTATTTTTGTGCACCTTTAAAATTTCCTTTACTGTGTCGTTACTCGTTATTGAATTCTGTACCTTTGTCAATTATGATTTTTTCGGGTACGCCAAAAGATATGAAAAATTTGATCAAAACGTTAAATAGGTACTGATATTGATCGCGGTTTTTCCTTGAGATTGCGTCCATTAGGGTAAGAAAATTTTTGTTGTTATAAAAGGATAAATCCAAGTGTACATTTTGAAAAGGTTTACTAGCAGTTTCAGTTTTAAGTAGGTATGGACTGTAAGGGGGATATCTACCATATTTTATGCGTTGGCGCATATTTCACAAGAATTGATAAAATTTGTTTTTGTGATAGGTTTCATATTTTTCCAATAACAATTATTTTTAAAGCTTCATTTATACCTCTGTGATTGGTCTTACCTTTGTGGTAATTTTTTATTAACATTATTTGTTCTTCTAGGTCTGTTATCGTATTGACTATTCTTAAACAACGCAATAATTTGGGGCCTTT